ATGGAGATGTGATCTCTCAACATCCTGCTCTATGTAGCTGACCGATGCCAAGCCACCCCCACCATTATTCTGCTCCCTCTGGAACCATAGGCCAAAATAAACTCTTCCTTCTATAAATTGCCTGTGGTCATGGTGTTTTATCATAGCTGCAGAAAAGTAAATGATAACAGAGGTCAAAGCCAAATCCTGGATAGAAAGCCAGAAATAGGCCCAGCTTGGTTCGGCGGGGGGGGGGGGGGGGTGTCTGTGCCTCTCCCCATGCCTTTGGCTGACAGGGGAGGGTGGTTTGGTAACCTGCCTCTGGGTTATCTTCTCCCTGCTCTGGCCTGGAGAATGCTGAAAGGAAGGCAATGACATGATCCAGAAGCAACACACCCCAGAGACCGTGGAGAAGGGAGACTGCTGTGCTTCCTCGCTGGCTCTTGAGTCTAGGTCATCACCTGTGGAGGATCAAGGGCACAGTGGGCCAGGGATCTCCTGAACTGCCCACAAATGCTCTGCATTCAGCGTCTCCAATGGTACTCAATCCCTTAAGGTTATTTCAATGGAAGTTCAATGTCAGACAATTCTAGCTGGGGCCTACCTTCCAATCAAAAGGGGGGGGGGCGGTCGCGGGGTGTGTGTGGACAGGACACCTTTGGGAACAAAGGGTCATATTAGCTTATCTTCTCAACCCTCTGAATCAGTTTCACTCCTACACCCAGCCTATGTTGTTTGTAATAGTATAGGACCTCTGACCTTTCCTCTAGAAAAGCAATCAGGAGCCCAGATTGCCAGGAATGCACCTCTCCCCATAGCCCCTCAGAATGTCAGAGGCAAGCTTTGTACAATGTGCACCAAGCCTCAAGAGTCAATGCCTGAGAAAGCTGAAGCAAGGAAGCCTGCCTAGCAGAAAAGTAGAGAGAGCCTGGATAGATCCATTCTACAAGATTCCTCAACATCCTGTCAGACCCCATGTTGGTCGGTTCTGCCAGGAGTCATCCAGACCAGGTAGTTTATCATTGTCAGCTTCTGGATTAGGGACTGAATAGTATGGTAGGAGTCCTCAGCTATGGAATCACAGGAACACTCCATTGGCTCTTCCCCGGGACCTCTGTGTCCAGGGCCAGGTCTGGCACAGTGTTTCGGGTAAATTAGGGAATCAAGGCTCCTTTGTTGATGGATTTGCAGTGTTGGGGATAGAACCCAGGGCATTTCATATGCTGGGCAAGCATTCTACTCCTTAATTGCATCCACAGCCCCTGGTATTTTGAGACATGATCTTATTGTGCAACCCAGGTTGGCTGAAGCTTACAACTGCAGCCCTCTTGCTTTGGTGCCGGGACCCTGACTAGGGGTGTTGAGGGGATGAGGGAAAGAACAGACTCTAAAGAAGCGACAGGCATGTACAGAGGAGTGGGGTGCTGGAAAACTAAGATTCTGCAAGATCTGCTAAGAGCACAAAAGCGGCTGGGCTGGTGCGATGGAGAAGCGGCCTGACTCCTCCATTTCCTGCCAGTTCCCTGACTTATTTAGCCCTACATCTTGTTTTGTTTCTTTTTCAGTTATGGTGGGGAGGGGCTACTTTGTTTGTTCCATAAAGGGTCATTTGTAGCCCAGGCTAGCCTGGAACTCACTATGTATCTGAGGACGGCCTTGAACATCTGGTCCTCCCACCTCTACTTCCCAAGTGCTCAGATTCAAGGTAGCTGTCTCCTGACAGCTCTGCCCTATGGTTTTGTACGTTCTCAGCCTGTGGTCTGTTCTGACATTTTGATCCCTTTTTGCCAGCTGTCTGACAGTTGAAAACTGATACCTCCCCATTCTGCACAGATAGTTATTGCATGTATCAGTGGAAATTTGGGGTCAAGCGATTTCCAATGTTTTTAAGACAATCGTGAAAGTAGGGCACTTCTGCAGAAAAGCAGAAGTATAACCCAGAAAGGAGTTTCCACCCAACTGAAGAGAAAACCCCAGCTTTTTTGGAGAGTTCCCTAGCATCCTGTCAGCAACAGCTACCAGGGGATACAACAGGGAAGCAGCCAGCAGCCCTCACTCTAGGGCCAATATGCCTTTCCACTTTGTCCCTTCTTGTCAATGATTGGTTGGCTCATAACACCTCTGGCTTATTGGTTCTCTAACTTCGAGACACCTAATCATTGATAAATTCAACCAGTTCCTGTGGTTCTGATTGACCGACCTGCTGCCAGGGTAAAGGCCCCAGAGTGATATTGCTTTCCCAGATGTAGTGTCCTCTGATCCTGAACACTTCCTCTTTACCCCTAATTCTGTTCTCCTTGACCTTACTCCTACCCCCAGGGAGACTCTCCTTGTGCGATTGCACAATTAACATCAATCCAGAGGTGTTCCAGAGACCCCAAGCTTCCCATCTTTGGACTTTCGCCATGCCAAAGCTGGGTTTTATACAACCCAAGAAGGCAAGGCAAAACTAGGGCAACCTGCCATGCAGAGTCAAGAACACACACCCTCACCACACTGTATAAGAGACCATACATAACCACTAGGTCCATCTAAGAGTTACTCAGGAAGGTCCAGCTTTAATTAGAGTAAATGCAAAAAATGGGGGAGCTTGCTAGAACAATTCCAGACTGTTAAAAGTTGCCATTCTGCCTGAAATCCACCAGTTAAAATTTTATTTATTTATTTATTTGTGACAGACAGGGCTTCACTATGCAGCCTGGAACTCTCTGTGTAGACCAGACTAGTCCCAAACTCTACTTGCCTCTGCTCTCCAGATGCTAGGACTAAAGGCAAACACCATTATGCCCCATCAGTAAAATGTATTCCTTTATACATTTTCTTCTCAAAGCTCTGTTAGCCAGGCAGCACAAGCCTGTAATCTCAGCCCTCAGGAGGCAGAGGCAGGCAGATTTAAAGTGAGTTAAAGTTCAGTCTGGTCTACAGAGGGAGTTCCAGGACAGTCAGAGCTACAGAGAATCCCTGTCTCAAAAAACCAAAACAACAACAACAACAACCCCCAAATCCTAAACATCTTATCACCATTTAACGCCTGATTTCTAGATGATGATTAGGTGAGGTAATGGAACATAAGTCAGGTCCAGTGGGAAACTGCCTGAACAGCAGTGACAGAAAGGAGGTGGGAATCAAGCACAGGAACTCCAGCTCTTACAGACTTGGTGTGCCCTGATCAGTAGATAGTGCAGACTCATCCATTCCCTTCAGGTTCACTGTCTTCTGTAGAGACATTCCCACGGGTTCCCTTTCTACCCCAGAGCCTACCAAAGCCTAGTTGCAAGCTCCTCTATGCTTCTGTGACCCCCCTCCCCCTTTATCTGCTTCTGGCCTGGGTATCAATGCACTGAAACTGCTCATTTGTTCCCACTAAAGTTCTTTTTTTAAAGATTTATTTATTTATTATGTATAGTGTTCTGTCTGCATGTAACCCTTCAAGGCCAGGAGAGAGCACCAGAAAAGAGCACCAGAGATCTCATTTCAGTTCCCATGTGGTTGCTGGGAATTGAACTCAGGACCTCTGGAAGACCAGCTAGTATTCTTAACCACTGAGCCATCTCTCCAGTCCCCCACCCCCTACTAAAGTTCTTAGATGGCAAAACATCTGCCTAGTTCACCGAGCTCATCTTCTCTGTCCCAGGCATTGCTCAGCACTTTGGGGCTCTCCAGCTGAGACTTTGTCTTATCCAATTTTCACTAAAAAGGTGTAAAATGGGCTTTGGAAACCTCAAAGCCTCCCCCTAGCAATCCAGCTCCTCCAAAAAGGCCACACCTCCTAATCCTTCCCACACAGTTCCAGAAACTGGGGACCAAGTGTTCAAGCATATGAGCCTGTGGGGTCATTGTCATTCAGACCCCCACAGGTCCTATCCAACTATTGAGCAACATGCCCAGACTTCCATGTTCCAAGAAATTTTCACTGTTATTCTTATTCTCTCTCTCCCTCCCTTTCTCCTCCTCCTGTGTGTGTGTGTGTGTGTGTGTGTGTGTGTGTGTGTGTGTGTGTGCACGCTCACAGGGATTAGACTCAGGGCCTAGACGTGGGCTTTCCATCAAGCCACTCTAACCTCACCACCCTTAAAAGAAACCAAACAAAAAACAAAACAAAGAGACAAAAAACAAAAAAACAACTTTTTATTTTGAAATAAGGTCTTCCTGGAATGGTCTTGAACTCCTGACCCTTGTATCTCATTCAGTCTCTTGAGTAGCTCAGATACAGACTTGTGTCAAGCCTGATCTTTAGCCTCAGGGAAACAAGCAAGAAGCTTACCCTTGTTGTATTGTGTGTTATACGGTAGTTTACAGGACATCTGGCTAGGCTGTTTGAAAGAACAAATGGGGCACTTCCAGGATACCTTAAAGGAAGTTGGTTGAAGTTGAGAAGTTGTGCAGGTGAAAGGGCTTGCTGGGGGAAAGGATGTGAGTGCTAAACGAGTTCTGCTGAAAGAGAAAATGAGAACTAGAACCTAAATTTTTAAAATTCCAGGGTTTGACGGGAAACATCTGGGTGAGAGTGGCCTAAGGACCCTTGGACAGATGTGAGACCTAAGGCAGACAGCAAGACCTAGGGGAGCACAATTACTTGGTCTGAGCAACCCAGAAGAGTCAGGCCAGACACATGTACTCAAAGACATAACACTCAAAGCATCAAAGAAACCCTTGTTCTTATGGTGTCTCTTGCTGGATTCGAATACTTGCCTTGAATCAGAAACTCAGAGCGAACCCACAGACAATTTTAGTGCCAGAGCCTGCAGCAGCACCTCGATCCCGGAACTACAACTCCCATGTGCACAGTGCAGCACGAGCTTTAACCCGGGATAAACTACAGTCCCCAGAATGCTTTGGTAGAGGCGGCGGGGGCGTGGCAACGTCTGCGGCGAGGGAACGTTAAATTTGAAATTTGGCGGTTTAGGCGTGATGGGGCGTGAGGTGGCTGCTTTGCTACCGAGTTGGATGCACGCTTTTGTCTAGGAGCACGGAGAGAAGTCTCTGCAACTCCAGGGCCAGCTGAAGGTTGAGGAAGGAAGGCCAGATAGTCGGCACCTAGGGGAGAAAGTTTTGCGGACGGGCGTGAGCAAGAACCGGGAATGCAGGATGGCGGCGGCGCGGAAGGAAGGGCTTGCAGCGAGGTGAGGACCGGAGTCAAGCTGCTGCAGCTGGGTGCTTGCTTGGTGGGCGACGGGAGGATCGCAGAAGTCGGGAAAGAGCAGGCCCTCCCGAGGCACCTACCTGATGGCATGGAGCCCTACATCCAGCCGCGGGGCAAAAGTGGGAGAGCTTGGAATTTGCCTTGAGATCTGAGTCTGCAACTCCTTTCAGCTGTTTTGTTTGACCTTGAACGTACCTTATATGGGAGTCATGTAGATCCTAACGCTGCTGTAAAGTAACTGCTTTCAATTAATAGGTGTTTCATTATGCCAGTCGCACAGGGACCTAAAAAGCAGAACATTTGCTGTTTTCCCTCGTATATAAAAATACAGAGTAGGTTTTCTAGGTTAGAACTTAATATGCATTTTAATTATGGAATCCATGATAGCTGAGTCATTGCCGGGTCATAAGTTTTTCATTCATGTAACATAAAGTATTGACCACCACATGAACACTGAAGGTTGACAGTAAAAGACACAACATCCAGCCCTTGTGAAGTTCTGGGGAGGAATGGAGATGGGGGAAACAATGAATAAGATACATTTAAAATGAGAAAAGTAGATAGCAATCAGTATTAAAAGATATATATGGTTGTGAGCCTAGCCTTTAACGGCTGAGCTATCCCTCCAGCCAGCCCTGTATTAAAAGGTGTGCAAGAGGTGACAGGAATTTTGCAGTTTCTGAAAAGTTTGGCTCTAAGGTCCTGGGTTTGTTCCCTAGCACTGATAGGGAAAAAAAGATTTGAACAGATGAGATGGTATTTGGATCAAAACTAGAACTAGTCATGGACATGGCTCTGCAGATGGAGTTGATTACTACCAAGACTGAGGACCTCAGTTTGGTCCCTAGGACCTCCACATCCACATGGTGAAAGGAGAGAACGACTTCGAAAAGTTGTGCTCTGACCTCCATTTGCTGTCTGCCATGCCTGCGCTCACACACACACACACCATTTTTTTTTTTTTTTTCAAAGAGCTAATTATGTACATGTTATAGAAATGTAGCAGGGGAAGCTGCTACTGGCATGCTGGTTGTCACTGGAGCTCCATGAACCTAGACATAGACAATAGGAGTTAAGGTGAGTGTGGGCTGCAGAAATGGTTCAGCCATGAAAGGTTAGGCTGACGACCAAAATGTCAAGGTGAGTATGCAAGCACAGTAATGACTGGGCTTTCCATTTGATGGTGATGGAAAATCACAAGGAGGTATTGGCACAGCAATGATCTGACCTCCATTTAAGAGGGATTTATCGGTGTGTAGTCTTGATGGAGACCCACAGACCAGTGAAGACTTCGTTGCACTAACCTAGGCCAGAGAAAGGGGTAGTTGAGCAAGACTGAAGACAGTGCTGACATTGAGAAGTGGGTTCTGGATTTTTTTTTTTTTTTTTTTTTTTTTTTTTTTTTTTAAAGACAGGGTTTCACAACACACTACACAGCACTAGCTGGCCTCAATCTCCTAAGTGCTGGAACTAAAGGCTTGGGCCATCGTGCCTGGTTTCTATTTCTCTGTTCTATTTATTTATTTATCTTTGGTTTTTTGAGAGAGGTAACCCTGGCTGTCCTGAAACTCTCGCTTTGTAGACCAAGCTGACCTGGAACTCGCAGAGATCTGCCTGCCTCTGCCTCCTGAGTGCTGGGATTAAAGGCATTCACCACCACTGCCCAGGTTATTTTGTTTTAAATTGAAAGTTAATACATGGCATATTAGTCTGACTAACACTAATTTCAGATTACACCATATTGTGCCTGTTAGATATAAAACTGCCAGCTTAAAAAAATTCTACTTTGCTAAATTTATGATGCTTTTAAAAAATTATTTTTTCTGGCTTTAACTTTATTCACATAATATTGTCAACAATGCCCTTGCCAAGTTCTCTCTTCTGTTAGGCACAAACTTGGAAACTAAGTAGTAAGCTCAGAAGCTCAAGAGAATAATAATGCTACCAGTGTTCCAGCCCTCTGCATCCAACCCGAAGGTCACAGAAACGCACCTGTTGGAAGGTGGTGACAGCCTAGTACTATAACACCGTTGGTGTCAGGTCACTTCCGTTTCTTGTTTGCAGTGAAGCCATGTCCCTGGAGGGAGATGAGTGGGAGCTGAGTAAAGAAAACGTACAACCCTTACGTCATGGGCGGATCATGTCCACGCTTCAAGGGGCTTTGGCACAACAGGAATCAGCCTGTAACACTACTCTTCAGCAGCAGAAAAGGTATGTGGTATAACTATCAGGGTCCAACTTGTTGCTGTGGTAGAGAGCATGGGTGTGAAACTGTAGAAAGCCCCAAGGAATTCTCTGATTGCAAACTTTTTAAAAGATTTATTTATTTATTTATTTAGGTTTTTGAGACATGGTTTCTTTATAGCACTGGCTGTCTTGGAACTCACTTTGTAGACCAGTCTGCCTTCAAATTCACAGATATCAGCCCCTTCTGAATCCCAAATGCTGGGATTAAAGGCGTGTGCCACCAACGCCTGGTGATTGTAAGCTTTTTAATTGGATGAGACCTTGTTTATTTCAGGATAAAATGGAATGTGTAGTCATACTCCATTCCTTAGATCTTTGAAAGCGGTGATTTTGCTGTGGAGGCATAGTATTCTGTTCTTATTTTAGACTTGTTTTGTTTTGAGACAGGGTTACTTTGTAGCCCTGGCTGGCCTAGAACTCACTGTGTAGGTTGAGACAGGCTTTGAACTCACAAGGGCTGAGATTACAGCATGTGCCCAGTGGTATTTTATTTCTTCCTAATGATTGTTCCTGGCGCCTGCATTGATCCTGTACATAGTTCTCTACTTGTCTGACTGGTGTTGGCCCTGATGTGTTTCATCCCAGTCTCTGCACTCAGCTGTACTTTCATAGCTACATTGACAACTCTTGCCTTTTCAATGTCTATTCGCTGTAACTGCAGACAGTCCCAAGCTTGAGAAAATTCAGCTAATGATACTCATTTGATAGAAGCCATACTTTGAATTTTGATCTTTTCAAGGATGAGGAATATGCAGTAGGACTGCTTTGAGATAGATGCCTGGTGGTTGTAAAGTGACCCATGTCTGAGGCTGAGCCATATGCAAGTTGTGGTATCTAGCAGGATAAATGTATTATTTATTGTACTTTAACCTAGGGTATTTTCTTTTTCTCTTCCTTTTGAGTTTGTTTTATTTATTAATTATTGTGGTTGAATCTTTTCATCAGGACCCCCTGGTCCTCACTAATGACACAGAGACTTATTAATTACAAAAATCTCAGCTGTAGGTTAGTCTTTACTAACTAGCTCTTACCACTTTAACTCATCTCTATTACTCTACTACATATTGCCTTGTGACTCCTGACTCCTGGCTTTACCTGTCCTTCAGCATGTCTTGCTCCTGGTGACTCCTCCTTTCCTCTTCCCAGTGTCCTGTGTCTGATTGTCCCGTCTGCCTATCCCTCCTGCCTAGCTAGTGGCAGTTTAGCTTTTTATTAAACCAATAAGGAGGAACCTTGGCAAAGACACATCTTCACAAAAAGATTATTACACAAGTATTTATTTATTTGTGACAGGCTATTTCTGTGTACCCCTAGCTGTCCTAGGCACTCACTCTGTAGACCAGGCTGGCCTCAAATTCACAGATCCTCTTGCCTTTGCCTCCTGAGTGCTGGAATTAAAGGCTTGGGCCACCACCGCCTGCCTACCTAGGGTATTTTCAACAGTGACAAGTTTAACTGGATTAGTTTTCTGTCAAGATAAGCCACTTTGCCTACTCTGGAGTTTTGTTTGTTTGTGGCAGGGCCTCGCTCTGTAGCCTGGGCTGGCCTTAACTTGTGGTCACCTCCTGCAGTCTCCCAGGTGATGGGCTTGCAGGTGTGTCGGCACGCCCAGCTTATTGTATATACATATTTTATATAAATAAAATTTTATATAAATAAAATCGATAGGTCTTTGTTTTGTTTTGTTTTTTAACTCTTTTGGCTCTTTACTCTTTGGGGGCCCACCACTCAGCCCCACACATGAAGATTTATTCTTTCATGTGAATGCCTGGCCTTAGCTTGGCTTGTTTCTAGCTAGCTCTTCTTAATTATCCCATTTACCTTTTGCCTCTGGGCTTTTATCTTTCTCTATTCTATATACCTTTACTTCTTGCGCATTCCATGGCTTGCTGGGTGGCTCAGTGCCTGGACCCTGATGCCCTCCTCTCCTCCTTTTCTCTGCTCCTTGATCTTTTCATCTCAATTTCTCCTCCTGTTTATTCTCTCTGCCTGCAGCCCCGCCTCCGTCTCTGGCCTGCTTGACTATTGGCCAGTCAGCTATTTATTAGACAATCAGGTGTTTTAGGCAGATAAATTAACACAGCTTCACAGAGTTAAACAAATGGGACATAAAAGAATGCAGCACATCTTTGCATCATTAAAACAAATATTCCACAGCATAAACAATGTAACACATCTTCAAGTAATATCCCACAACATAGAATCACATGGATCTTTCATTTAGTGTAATTTTGAGTACTTTTCATGTTGCATATATCAGTAGGCTATCCCTTTTTACAGCTCTGTTTGATGTTCACCAGTTGTTGGACATTTTGGTTCGTTCTTCAGTGCTTTGTAAATCAAGCTGGCCTGGGTATTTGACAAGGCTTTTTTCAGACATATTCCTCACCCCTCCCCTTTGGATGGAATTGTTGGATCATAGAGTCTCTTAAACCCAGGACCACAAAGGCAGGTGATCTACTGGAAATCTTTCTTTGATGTATTGTGGTTGTTTCCTAGTTCCTACCCTGATTTTCACCTCTTAAAACCTTTACTGGCGCCCAGCCTGGTCCTTTGAAACAACAAAATGTAACAATTATCCCAATTATTCTATTATTAATAAAAACTTGGGAGTCAGCTAGTAGGGTGTGAACCTAGTAGATCCAAAAAGTGACAGAGAAGAGTCCAGCTGACCGTCTGTGCTTTTCCAAGATCAAGAAAGGCTGATGAAACTTCTAAACCCCGCTTCCTTCCTCCCTGTGTCTCTCCCCGTCTGAGTCTACCAGAAAGCCTCTGGTTGGTTTTGTTCAGCTGAGCATGAACTCTGTCCTCTGAGTCAAGGTTCAGTTTATTGACGGCTTTTGGGGACAGTGAACAAATCTCTTGCAACAATAAAACACCTTTACTGTCTGTCCTTGGCAAGTACCACACCTGTTTTGTATTGTTGTTTTTCCCCCCACTTTGGCTTTTTTATGAGGAGTATAATTATTTTGTATCAGAAACTGTTTTGTTTGTTTATTTCTTGTTTTTAGGCAGAACTTCCCCAAATATCCTAAGCCGTTCTTGAACTTACTCTGGTAGCCCAGACTGACCCTGAACTTGTAGGATTTTGGCCTCAGCCTGTATTGTGTTATCATAGACATATGACACTTTGGCTATTTTATGTCACTGGGCCTCATCTTGGTTTTACTTTGTTTTGTTTTTTATGATTTATTTATTTCTTGAATGTGTGGAGGTCAGATGTCAACATGTAGGAATCTGTTCTCTTTTTCTACCATGTGGGTTCTAGGAACCCAGCTCATGTCCTCAGGCTCAGCGGTGAGTGTGCTTGTCCACTGAGCTTTTCTCCAGCCAGTGGGCTCGCTCTTGTGTGTGTCTTGTGCAAGCAACCACAGCTGCTGTGCATGGTCATGTCCAGGACACTGTTTTATGATGCTTCCCTCCATCCGCCATCTCTTAGAATCTTGCCACCCCCTCATCTGTGTTGTCCCTGAGCCTGGGAGAGGGTGATGCATATATTTCCCTAATTAGGCTGAGCACTCGATGGTGACTGGTTCTTAGCACTTTGATCAGTTAGGAATCTACCTTCATTGTCCCACCACAAAAACAAGCATCACTAACCAAGACTGATACATAGTCCCTCTTGGGCACCTATACTTATATGCATATATCCACACATACACAAACACAACTAAAAATAACTTTAAAAAATATAAACAAACCTAATAGGTAGTATTCATTTTACATGTGAAGAAACTGAAAACAGAGAAGTAACTGTCGTTGTCTAAACTAACGACTGCTAGAGTTGGGTTTTGTTTTACTTTTAATAAGCTCTCATGGAGCACCCCTGGCTGGCCTGGAACTCACTATGTAAATCAAGCTAGCCTCAAACTGAGTGCTGGGATTAGAGGAGGCCTACAACACCACACCTGGCTTAGAATTATTCTATTCTTTTTTTCTATTCTTTTTTTGTGTGTTTAAGTTTTAAATTAGTTTTAATTGAGTTATGTGTATATGTGGGTACAGGTGCCTGCTAAGGCCAGAGGCATCAGATCCCTGTAACCTGGAGTTCAAGGTGATTGTGATACACCCTATTTGTGTGCTCTGAAAGATTCTATTTTTGGAAGGGTGGGACTGGAGAGATAGCTCAGTGGTTAAGAGCACTCCCTATTCTTGTAGAGGATTCAGCTTTGTCTCCCAGCACTCATGGCTGTAAGCCATCTGTGCTCCTCTCATATTCCCTTCCAGCCTCCTTGGGCACTGTGCACATGTAGCACACATACATTCAGGCAAACACTTAGATACATAAAATAAAGCTGTAATTGTTGAGAGCCACCTGATGTGGGTGCTTGGAAACTTGGGTAGTCTGTAAGAGCAAGAGGTACACACTTGGTCTCCAATTGCTAAAACCATTTGGGAAGGATTAGGAGGCGCGTTCTTGTTGGAGGAACAGTATCAGTGGGTGTGTGCTTTGAGGTTTCTAAAGCTCACGCCAGGCCCAGTTAGCTCTCCTGGTACTTGTGGGTCAACATCATAAGCTCTTGGTCATGCGCTAGGTTATGCCTGCCTGCTGCCACGCTCCCTGCCATGATGGCCATGGACTCTAATCACCTGAAACTGTTAGCTACCAATAAACTCTTTCTTCTATTAGTTCATTTGGTCATGGTGTCTTATCACAACAGAAAAGTAACTGAGACAGCATTCAACTGCTGAGCCAGCTCTCTAATCTAAACAATATTGCATAATTGGTGTGATTTTTGTCTTCTTTTGGGTTTTTTGTTCTTTTTGTTTTTTGATCTGGCAAAGGAATCTAGGGTCTTGAGCACTGTACCACTGAGCTAAACCCCCAATCTGTTCCTTTTTTATTTAACAAATTCTCAAACTCAATTTGAAGCACTCAAGGAGTGACTAGAAGTGAGTGAGGCCTGTCCCGGCTACCGTCAGAGCTGTATGTGCTAATGTGGTCTGTTTCAATCCCAGGGCTTTTGAATCTGAAATTCGATTTTACTCTGGAAATGACCCCCTGGATGTTTGGGACAGGTGAGTACTGTATATGGAGGGAACAATAGACATGTTCACAGATGAATCTTCTGGGCCTTGTTTCTCAAGTTGAAGGTGTGGAGTGGTGAAAAGAGCAGAAAGTGTTGTGTCTTGGCGAGACAGACTTCCAGAACAGCCACAGTGGTTTTCTGAGGTGTTTGTCTTGCAGGGCTGTAGATAGAGCACAGGAATTTACACATGCCAAGGAAGGGCTGTTCTACTGAGTTAAACTCCAGTTGCCCTGAGGTGTTTGTATGTATGACATAGCTTTGAGGTGCATCTTTCAATCCTTTTCCCAGAACATCTGTTGCAAGTACTTCAAGAGAGTTTGAGAGATGGAGGCTTAGGATATGTCACTGAGGACTGCTAAAGAAACATACTTTGAATATATTAAATATTTTCTGTTGAAAACTCTAGAATAGAGGGCTAGAACAATGGCTCATCTGTTAAGAGCCCTGGCTGCACTTGTAGAGAATTGGGTTGGGTTCCCAGCTCACACTTCTGTGTAACTCTAATCCCAAGGGGGGGGTCTGATGCCCTCTTCTGGCCTCTGATGGCACTGCACACATGTGGCACATAGACACAGGCAGACAAAACCCATATACACAAATAATAAAATAAGCAAATCCAGAATGGGTCGGGTGTGGTTGCATGTGCCTTTAATCCCAGCATTCAGGAGGCAGAGGCAGGCTGATTTCTGTGAGTTGAGTGCAGCCTGGTCTACATAGCTGAATACAGGCCAGCCAGGGCTATATAATAAGACTCTATCTCAAAACAAAAGCAAAATACCCATTCAGAATGAAACTTAGAGCTAGAGCAAAAGTATATATCATTTTAAAATGTATTCTTTTCCTTTTCCTGTTCAGGTATATTAACTGGACAGAGCAGAACTATCCTCAAGGGGGGAAGGAAAGTAACATGGCAACGTTACTAGAGCGCGCTGTAGAAGCCCTACAGGGAGAGAAGCGCTATTATAGTGATCCCCGCTTCCTCAGTCTCTGGCTCAAATTGGTAAGTGGCATCTGAATTCAAATAGCAAATTGGCTTTTTCCTGTAGAGGTATTAAGAGTGAACATTTGGAAACATTTGAACCATTAAATGTACCACTGTGCATATAATCTCTTCACTTGAGAGGCTGAGGCTGGAGGGTCACAAGTTTGATGTCATTCTGGGCTACATAGTCAGATCCTGTTTTATAAAACTAACCAAAAGCCTTGAAAAAACAAAACAGATGTTAAGATTGGTAGAACATCTAAATGTACTATCATTCTTTAGTAGCTTCTATGTTTATTGTTTACAAGATTTTGTTCATTTTTATTTTATGTGAATGAGTATTTTCTTCCATGTATGTACGTGTGTTCTTGGGGAGCACTGGATCCCTTTGGAACTAGAGTTACAGATGTTTGTGAGCTCCCCTGTTGGTACTGGGAACTGAACCTGCGTCCTCTGCAAGAACAAATTCTCTTAACCACTGAGCTCACTCTGCAGCCCTGACTTCTGTGTTCAGTGAATACCTTAAATCCAGACCTGTTAGTAGAGGCCTGTAACGAACTCCTTCAGAGGATGAAGCAGGAGGATCACAGAGCAAAGGCCTGCCTGGATGATACAATGTACTTAAGGCCAACCCAGGGAAGTAAGGAAGAGAGGAATGGGGATTCTCTTATTGGTGGAGTGCTTTTGTAGTGGAAGACACCTGTTTCTGGCCCCCATGTGCACCTATACGCACTGGTACATCAGAACACATATAACACACAGGAAGAGGGAGAGCCAGCCAGACACACAGATACAGGTGGAGGCATGGTCTCACTCATAGCCCAGGCTGGCCTTGAACTCACTATTTAGACTTGAGTCCTAGGGATTATGTTGCTTCTCTCAAGCGCTAGCATTCACTGAGCAGTCACGGAAGCAGGGGAAGTGAAGTGCTGTGTGTTGTAATGGCTGTGGGGCTGTCAGGCTTGTGTAGTCCTTGGAGATACCTCTCCACCCATATACTTTTAACTGTCAGCACAGAGAGCCTGGCTTCCAACTGCCTGAAGGGCTGCTTCCTGGTTCCCAGATGTCAGTGCTCTTTGGGTATTTTCCCCATTGAAGGGTCCTGACTCACCCTAGGTCGTGTCCCCTTTCTGGGGCCTGCAACCTTGGGCTGCTTTATGTGGCAATGGAAAGGCCAGGCCTCCCCGTCTTAACTGGCAGAACCCCTTTAGGTCCTCTAGCCCTTGTGCCCTCCCTGTGGGTTGTACTTCCTGTCCTCCTGTTCCTCCTACTTTCATGCACTGCGCGCTTTAACAAGACTGACTCACAGCTCTGGTAGTTCAGGCTTAACTCTGATTTGCATTCTTTTCTAGTAGTTTATTGGTGTCGCCGTAATATCAGTCACAATAATACAAACTTTATTCTGAATGTGAATTAACTACCTATTCTAACTATTGACTTTATGTGTTAAATGACATTGAGTTATTGCTCGACAAAAATTTGAGGCCAGATGTGGTAGCTCTGTCTGTAATGCTAGCACTTAAGAGCAGAAGCAAGATATCCTGGTCCAAATGGTGAGTTCCAGGCCAGCTTGGGCTATGAATGAGACCTTCCCCCCCACACCAAATAAATAAATAAATATTATGCTTATATGTATATATATAAAGAATACAGTAAAATCAATTTTTCTTATGGCCAGGAAATGTAGAAATATGTTAAAACATTTATAGTATGAAATTTCTATTTTTCCTCTTTTGCTGTTAAAATTTTCTTCACTATACCTGATTACATAGTTCCTTAAATACAGCCTTCACCAAATCTTGCCTTTGCTTTTAACTCTCGGCACAGAATATATTTACTGTCAGGGAGAAGCAGAATCAATTGAATTTACTTTTTAAGACCTGTCATGGCCTTTACTCCAGACTCCCCATCTTACCTTGCCCTGGTAGTCTGTCTTTTCTTCACTTATGCCAGACGTAAAGGGAATATTGTACTCTTCCATCCTATATCTGTTGAAAGTCCAGCTCCCTTTCCAGTCAGTTACATGTTACCTGTGTGAAGCCTTCCCTCCCCTCCCCTCCCCTCCCCTCCCCTCCCCTCCCCTCCCCTCCCCTCCCCTCCCCTCCCCCTCCCCTCCCCTCCCCTCCCCTTCCCTTCCCTTCCCTTTTTCTTGCAAATTAATCTTACTCTACTCCCTCCCTGTCTTGGGTTTTTATTCCATCCAGTATATTTTAATACCAGGATAATTATGTATAAAAAATATAATTAAATTATAAGGCCAGGCACATATTCCTCAGTGCAGGAGTTGCGTATAGTTCCCCTCGTGGTTGTTGGTGCACAGTAGGCTTTGACAAGCAAAGGAAGTTGGCTGACTGTTTCCACTCTTACTATGTTACAGGGGCATCTGTGCAATGAGCCTTTGGATTTGTACAGCTATTTACACAGCCAGGGGATTGGCGTTTCCCTTGCCCAGTTCTACATTTCATGGGCTGAAGAATACGAAGCTAGAGAAAACTTCAAGAGAGCAGACGCAGTGTTCCAGGAAGGGATTGAACGCAAGGCAGAGCCCCTGGAAAGACTGCAGTCCCAGCACAGGTGGGGCTTCCCTGGAGCCTGTCTAACCTTATCGTTGTCTTAGGCAACTCAGTTCCAGAAATCACAAATTCTTCCTCCTAATGGCCATGGTTGTTCCCGGGTCAGTTCAGCCTGGAGTCCTTTGTGGTGCTGTTTTAGTCTGTCTCCTACGTGTCCTGCTGGGCTAGTGTGAGACTTGAGCAGTGGATTGGGTCATAGTTCAGTTCTCATAGCATTTTCTGTGTGCATAGCTCAGGAGTGAGTTTAGGGGCATTACGAGTTCCCAGTCTTCAGTACTCCTCTCTAGGATTCTTCTAGTAGTTTTTGGCCCTCAGAATCCCCTGTTCCCGTTCCTTTAGACAAGAAGATAAGGGTTTCTCAAAGAGTTGTAGGTTTCCCAAATCGCCATCATAGGAGTTCACAGCATAAGAGAAACAGAAGAAACAGAACAGAAAACAGCCAGCACAGGATGTCTGCTCCACACTCCCACAGTTCTTTGCCTTTGTTAACCCTCTGGAGGCATGGGTTTCTCTTTTTATGTGTTTAGTTTTAAATTGAAGTGAAGGAGGGGAGAGAGACTGCGACGCTTTGCTGTGTCCTAGCGAGCATCTACAATCTATTTACTTTTTTGTTCTTCCAGTGTACTTTAAAATTGTAGCAGGAACCACAGAGAAGTTTTGTTTTCAAGGTTTCTGCCAGCCGTACTAAAGTCAGATGCTGTGCTGAATGTAAACTCATTTCATATGTGTAAGAAAAAAACTGCATGGGGTGGATGTGTCAGGGTACTAGGGGTAGGTGAAGGGCATTTGGGTATTTATTCACTCTATACAATTCTGCAATTTTCATTTTTAATTTTCTAATACAAGTTGCTGAGAAACTATGAATTCTACCAATTTTCTAGTCTTAGCTGATGCTCGGGTCAACCTGATGAGGGTATTTACATATTTTTCAACAGACACTGAGTCACCCTGGCCCGGATGTCCTTGTGTCTAGAGTTGCTCCCCTTATTCCTAGAGAACGTGTTTCCTGAGGATACTTGTGTGCTGTGTTGTCTAGTCTGGGTTTTGTTGTGTGAGAACTGGTCATGGTCACTTCAGTTAAAGCCGATTGTTCTTTGTCATGCTTCAGACAATTCCAGGCTCGAGCATCTCGACAAGCTCTCTTGGCACTTGAGAATGAGGAGGAGGAGGTCTTGGGGTCTTCTGTACCACAGAGAAGCACACTAGCTGAACTGAAGAGCAGAGGGAAAAAGATGGCCAAAGCACCCATCAACCGCGTCGGAGGTGCCCTGAAGGGTGAGCTTGTTTTATTATTTTGGATCGACCGTAGTCTCTTGTGGTGGGCAGATTATGTAAGAAGGCAACACATAAGTATACATGTGGGCGCTGCCCTAGTTTTCTGAATACTAGGTAGCAAAAGAAAAACCAGCTAATGTCACAGGATGCAGGTAAGCCAAAGGTGGCAGTTTTGTGTTGTGACTGTGAGTAAACCTGATATTTGAGATATGTCATTTTCCAAGTGTTGTTTTTGAAAGAAGATATGTAGCAATATAGTAGGTATTCTCAAAATAAAGCTTAAATGCATTAAAGCCTTAGAGAATACCGTTAATGTAGTTAAGAATATCTTACTGGTAGTGCATTGCCTTTAGTTCCAGCACTTGGGAGGCAGAAGCAGGTGGATCTCTGAGTTCGAGGCCAGCCTGATCTACAGAGGGAGTTTCAGGACAGCTGCCAGAGCTACACAGAGAAACCCTGTATTAAAGCAAAACAAAACAAAAACCAGCTAAACAAAACTGAAGTATTAGGCAGTGTTGTAACAATGACTGAAAGAAGTTATAGGACTTCTTCTTACGTTATGAACAGAAGACTGGATGGACGTGAGTCATGCGCAGTGATGGGCTCCTTAATACAGTGCTTGGGAGACAGGCAAGCAGATCTGAGTTTGAGACCAGCTTCATCTATATAGTGAATTCCAACCCAGCCAGGGCTTATAGCAATACCCTGTCTCAAAAATAAAGACAAAAAACGGAAGTGGGGGCTGGAGAAAAGGCTCAGGGGTTAAGTGCACTCACTGATCTTCCTGAGGACCTGAGTTCTGTGGGCAGCACCCACATCAGGCAGATCACAGCCATGTGGAAGTCAGGCTACAGGGGACCCGGTGCCTTTGGCCTCCGTAAACACCTGCACTTGCATGTGGATACCCACATACACCCCCTACACATAACTAAAAATAGTAAAAATAAGACTGGAAGTGTTAGGACAAAGGGGAAAGGAAAGAGAAAGTAAAATACATAAAAATGTTACTAGTTGGATCATTGAGAATGTACTACTGCCTTTTATAAAGATTTATTTTATTTTTAGTTATTAGTATGTGGGTCTATTGCAAGCATGTGCAAGTGACTGCAGGTACCAGTGGAGGCCAGGGAAGGATTCTTTTTTGTTTGTTTGTTCGTTTGTTTTATTTTTCAAGACAGGGATTCTCTGGGATTAAAGACATGCGCCACCAGCGCCCAGCCAGGGGAGGGTTTCTAGAGTTGCAGTTATTATGAGCCACCCCATCTGGGTGCTAGGAATTTAGCTCAGGTTTTCTGTAAGAACACTGTGTGTGCTCTTAACTGCTGAGCCATCTCTTTACCCCAACTTAAGGTTTTAAAAGAAAAAAAATCTCTTCAATCTCATTTTGACTCTGTGGTAGAGGGAATATCCTCCTTAATTGGAGCAGACCATGTATATCTTATATCCATGTAAGTTCATAATGACATGCTCATATATGTCTCCTAGCTTCGGGTCAGAGCAGAGGATTCCAGAATGCAGCTCCTCAGCAGACACACAGTAACCGTAGGATCACTGTTTTTGATGAAAATGCTGATAGCACTTCTAGGGCAGAGTTACCTAAGCCTGTGGTCCAGCCATGGATGGCACCCCCTGTCCCTAGGGACAAAGAGAATGAGCTACAACCAGGCCCGTGGAACACAGACAGACCCTTGGAATATAGGGTAAGGTCTCATAGTATTTGCCAATCTAATGAAGATTTCATTTTGGTCTGTCTTGGCTTCTTGTTGTTTGCTTTGTTTGTTTGTTTGTTTGGGACGGGCTCTATTTAGCTTAGGCTTGAACTTGCTGTGAAGCCCAGGCTGGACTTGAACTTCCCAAGCTCGTGCCTCAGCTTTCCATGTACTTGGATTTTAGTCACACACCATCCTGCCTGGCTCTATTTTAATATCTCTTAACTCCTTCACTATTTTATTTTATTTATTTATTTTGGTTTTTCAAGACAGGGTTTCTCTGTATTGCTTTTGGAGCCTGTCCTGGAACTCGCTCTGTAGATCATGCTGGCCTTGAACTCACAGAGATCCACCTGCCTCTGCTTCCCGAGTGCTGGGACTAAAGGTTTGCACCACCAACGCCCTGCAACTCCTTCACTATTTAGGGATTGTCTGCATAAATTATGACAGAATGTAAAATAATCTTTTTAACTCTTTCTTCATTTTTAGTCTCATGGCGGTAATTCCGTCCCTGTAACAGCTGTGCCCGCTTCGCTTCCCAGCTTTACGCCCTATGTGGAAGAGAGCGCTCAACAGTCAGTCATGTGAGTGTCTTACAGATCATTCGCAGTGGGAATTACTAAGGCTGGCACAGGTCCCAGTGGCATCTTCTGGTGGGAGGGACAACAGATGAGCTCTGTGTCTCTGTTGTATTCACTGTCCATGCTAGAGCCGAACAACTGCAATGAACTTAATAAGTGGGTTTATGGTTACATTGATGCAGCAGACGCCACTGCTATTCAAGTGTGACATGCTGCTTAATTATTGAGTATAATTAGAAAGGGGTCTCTTTTCTCCTTCCTAACCCTTACCACTTTAAAACATTTTATGTTTCTTAGATTTAAATGTTCTTTAGTGTGTATGAGTGTCTTGCCTGCACGTATGTATGTGTTGCACATGCATGCCTGGAGTCCACAGAGGTCAGAAGAGGGCATTGCATTCTCTGGGACTGCAGTTACAGGCAGTTGTGAACTACCATGTGGGTGCTGGGAATCAAACCTGGGTCCTCTGCAACAAGTGCTCTTAACTGCTGAAACAACTCTAGCCCCCTAATATTTTTGTTATAAGAAAAATTAAGGCAAATGATAGATAACCAGCTTAAACTTTAGTCCAGCCTTTAAAGATTGTGAGTTCTAATACCAGGTTCAATTCTGTGCTTCAGTGTAAGAGTTTCCTCATAGCTAATATGTGTATTTATTTACTTTTTTCTGAAAGACAGTCTCTGTGTAGACCATGCTAGCCTTGAACTCAGAGAGCCACCCATGTCTACTTTCTGAATGCTGAGGTTAACGGCCCACAATACCATGCCTGAATCTTATGGCTAATTTATCACTCACACTATATGATAGGTACCATAGGAAGGCAAAACCAGTGTGGTTCTGAGCAAAAAAAAATAAAATAAAAAATCTTTCTGAACCAAACATAAAACAAGGGAAGCCATTGGAACCTTTATAGAATTGTTGAGCTTTATACCAAGTCTGTTTTTTTTTTTTTTTTAAATCAAATTTAATTTAATTTAATTTTTTTTTTAAGACAGTTCTCACTATGTACCATGGAACTCTTTCTGTAGACCAGACTAGTCTTGAACTCACAGAGATCCTCCTGCCTCTGCCTCCTTAACGCTAAGATTCTAGGCATATGTCACTACTCTGGCTCCTTTTTAAAAATTTATATTTGACTCTGTGTGTGTGTGTGTGTTTGAGAGAGAGAGAGAGAGAGAGAGAGAGAGAGAGAGAGAGAGAGCGAGAGAGAGAGAGAGCTGTAGGGCACATGTGGATGTCAGGGGACAACTCAATTGCTGGGATTATACTCCAGCTCCCTCACGCGCTCTCAGGTAGTTTTTCTTAACGAATTATAGTTGTTCTTCATAAATTAAGAGGATCATTCTTTGCACCAGAGACAACCAGTGTGTAAAAAGAAAAGGTTTATTTTGGCTTAAGTTTTGGCATATGGTCTTTTGAATTTGACGGCCTGAGTTGCTACTAATTTTCTTCAAAGCAGAGGTAGTTCTGAGAACTCACCCCTCCCGCCCTCGTGCTGGGACCAGAGTCTGCCTTGATACTGAAGGCACTGATATGCCACTGGGCTCTGCAACATAGCTACTGGCTATTCTTGTGGGTTATTTTTAGCCCCATCTTAAAATCTTAACTTTTTTGTTTGTTTTAGAAATAAATCACATGTAGACACAAGGTTGGCATTGTCTGTCTATTCAAGCAAAACTTCTAAGAAATAACTCATTTTGACTTTGGAGTGAATGGTAATTGTTTGGCTTTCTTAGGACACCCTGTAAAATTGAACCTAGTATCAACCACGTTCTCAGCACCAGAAAGCCAGGAAAGGAAGAAGGAGACCCCCTGCAGAGGGTGCAGAGTCATCAGCAAGGGTCCGAGGAGAGGAAGGAGAGGATGATGTACTGTAAGGAGAAGATTTATGCTGGAGTCGGGGAGTTCTCCTTCGAGGAGATCCGAGCTGAAGTGTTCCGGAAGAAGCTGAAAGAGCAAAGGGAAGGTGTGTCTTTTCTGTTCTAAGAGAGATTGCCTCCGCTATTTGTACCTTTGTGTGGTGTTTCTATGCTGGACAGTTTTTCTCTGTGTGTACATGTATATACTGTATGTATGCTGAGCTCTTATTGCCACTGCAGGGGCACCTATTTACAATAGAAGAAGCAGCCGGGACCCTAGCATGCATGCAGGTGCACTCCCCTTAAGTACCTCCCTTGATGTTGCCTGAAGTATGAGGCCTCAATTTCTCTGGCCGTTTATTTATAATAGCATATTCAGTCATATCTCAGGCACTTAGAACAGTTATTTATATTATCATTCTGAACGTAAGGGAAGATTTGGAAACTGAGGGGAATAAGAAGCAGTTCCTGTTCTGGAACTGTCTGTTCTGGGTTAAGAGGGACAAAAGGGACTGATAAAAAAATAGGAAAATGAATATTGGAGACTTCAGGGCATTAATTAGACTTTAGGGATAAAATAAATTTCAAATGGCATATTGAAAAATGGGCTCTGTGTCCAATGTGGGAAGGAGCCATGATTGCAAAAGCAAGGGGCCCGCTGAGTGAGGCCTTTTGTTTTTTGTTGTTGTTTTTGAGATGGGGTCCCATCTCACTGTGTAGACTAGGTTGGCTTCAGCCTCTCAGGTGGTGAGATGAAAGTTATGTGCCACTACACCAGACTGAGTGTGACCTTCTGAAATCAGGAACTGAAGGGATGGGGGATGGGGGGATGGCTCAGCAGTTAAGGGCTTTAGCTGTTCTTACAGAGGACCCAGGTTCTCTATCTACCTAGCATGTACATCAGAACTCACTGCCATCTTAACTATTATCTGGGGATCTGATGCCCTCTCCTGGCCTCTGTGGCACCAGGTATACAAGTAGACAGGCAAAGTCGGTACATGTTACTGGGTAAAGGAACTTGCTGCACAAGCCTGATGACCTGGGTTTGACCCCTAGGACCTGTATAAAATGTGGAAGGAGGGAATTGACTCCATAGAGTTGTCTCCTGTGGCAGGCACATTGCACACATCATTCACACAAAATAACAATACAGAGGTTTTCAAATAGGAACTGAGCTGGAAGGTAAAGCTCGATGCTAAGAGTACTTGTCTTGCATGTGAAGACCTGGAGTCAGTCAGTCCATGGCACAGAAGACACCACCAAAACCCCCAAAGAGCCTGTCAACAAAGATTAAATGAGGTACTTAATTAAAAAGGGAAATTTCTAGTTCATACCTCCTATACAAAAGTGATGGAATGCATTTTATTCTCAGTCAAAGAAATCCCGGTGCTGAGGTTTTGTGGGATTTGTGTGGATAAATTCAGTCTTGTCTCACATGCATTTTAGTTGGGACTGGCTGACCGTTTCAGAGGGTTAGTCCATGGTCATCATGGGGGGAAGCATCACTGCACACAGGCAGACTTGGTGCTATAGAAGTAGTGAGAATTCTACATCCTCACCCACAGGCAGTATGACGAGACACTGGGCCTGGCTTAAGCTTTTGAAACCCCCAAGCCTTACCCTCAATGACATATTTCCCCCACAGGGTCACATCTACTCCATCCAACAAGGCCACATTTCCTAACCCTTCTGAAGTAGTGTCACTCCCTGCACACCTTTACGTATGTGTGTGTGCTCACATTTGTACATTGGTGTGCAGACCCGAGGTTGACACTGCGCTTTTTTCTCGATCACTTTCCACCTCTTCATTGAGGTGGGTCTTGATGGAAGCCAGCGCTCACCCATACACTGGTCTGCTCTGGGAACTCCCTTCTCCCCACATTCCACGTATTGGAATTACAAGTGGGCCAGCATACTCACCCAGCATTTATTTGGGTAGTAGGAATCTAAACTCCAGTCTTTGTGCTTGCAAAGGCCAGCACTCTAACACTGACACCCTTCAAAGTATAGTCAGTCTTCTTTGCCCAGTGTACTCTTAGGCATTCCCTTTATTCTTGTCAACAGCTCTGGTCATGGTCATCTTCGGTGCTACCAGCAAGCTGGCTGTCCTTTGCATTCTTCAGTACAGTGGTCTTCCTGTATTAATGAGCTTTCCCCAGATCTTTGCTTGACTGGTCTTCATCATCCAGGTTTTAGCTTTATCACAACACTTTATCAAAATGATTACTGGTCACTGGTCTTTAATAGCCATGACCTTCATACCTTCATCCACTGTACACAGTACTGAGTATTGAGCTTCACTATAAGCCGAGTGTGCTCTGTCAGTGGCTAGAGCCTCAGTCCTGCGTGCATGCCCCCTACTTTGGAGGTTTCTTGGTGTTTGCTTGCTTATTTGTTTGAGAAATAGTGTAGTGTCTTGTGTAACTCAGGCTGGCCTTGAACTCACTATATTTGAGGACGACACTGACTTTTGGAGCTTCTGTCTCTGCCTCTTAAGTACTGCAGTCCTGGGGTTTCATGATAGGCAAGCACTCTTCCAACTAAGCTATGTGCCCTGTCCTGCTTTATGTATGGATACTTTGGGTGCTTTTGAGAAAGTCTTGCTTTGTAGCCCAAGCTTGCTTAGAATTCTAAATGATTTTCTTATTTCTTTGTGCATTTCTGCCATATTTGGATGTTAGCATCGTATGGCCAAGGAGTTGGTACCATTGGAACCTGTTTTCACTACTTGTGCATGATAGGTATTGCTTTTTTCCTGATCACATACACAAAAGAATAGAGACACAGACGGCAAACTGAGGCCTCATTCTCCCTTTCCCATTTTCATCAGTGTTAACATGAGGCTATGAACCACAGGCAATCTTTCCAGGAGGAACTGTTGTGAGGGGCGAATGCCTCAACTTACTTCATTGTTTGCAGCTGAATTGCTGACCAGTGCAAAGAAGAGGGAAGAAATGCAGAAGCAGATTGAGGAGATGGAGAGAAAGCTGAAGGAAATCCAGACTGTCCAGCAAGAAAGAACTGGCGACCAGGTAAAACATTTTTCTTTTCTTTTCCTTTTTTTTTTTTTTTTTTAAATACAGCAAACTCAGGCATGCCTGGCAAGAGTTCTAGCTTTGATCTACATGCCCAATCTAAAAAAGACCTTTTTTGATAGTTTTTTAGTTGCGACTAGCAGGAAAGTAATTTAACAAGTGATTTCAAATGGGATTTATGACATGTGAGATAAGTAATATAATTCACTGACTTCTAGATTATATTTTTATTAATTCTGATATTGACTTTCTATTTTAGTTATGGTCCGTTAAAATGGAGTTAATTTTTAAAATTTGATATATAGTTGCCACTGCTCAGTTGAGTACAACAGTACCAATTTGACTAGGAACCTAGATTATTGGAGAGACCTTTTGTGGTACTGACATTGTATTTTTGTATGGGGGACATTGGTTTTCTTTATGTTAACATAAGCAGCAAGAAGAGAAGGGGCCTACAGAGGAAACAGCCAGACTGCAGATTGCTTCAGAGTCTCAGGAAATGCTGGGAACATCTCTGTCCCGTTCTGTCTGCCCACTAAGCTCAAATCCCAGGTAAGACCACTTTGGTGGAAGGTGTGGTATTCACAGGTCAGAACAAACTTTTAGCTCTGGTGACTTGAAGTCTCCTTAATTTTTTGACAGTACTAAGTCACGAGTTTTACAAATTTTAATATAAGGTTTCACTAATAAGGGAATATATGATATGTCTTTTTCCTTGGTGAAAATAAAAATAAATGCTTCTAGAGCCTTGTACATGTACAGTGACACATCCTGTAACCCTAACACTTAGGAGATGATGTCAAGGGGGACAGGAATTCAAGGCTAGTAGCTTTTGAGACTGGCCTGGGATACATAAAACCCTGTTGTCGTCCGTTGCCTGTTCCCCCCCAACCCCCCCTCACACACAAAATATAAATGGTAGTACTCAGGTGGTTAAGGCAGTAAATTATCAAAGCCAGTCTAGCCTACACGGTAAGACCTTATCTCAGAAATGTACTTAAATTTCATTACATACGTGTATGGAATGTCCTTATGTAACCCAGTGCTGTGTACAATGAGCATATACTAACTAAAATCAAAGCTCAAGAAATTACCACACAAGATAACTACTGCTATTCACACCAATAGGTGTCTTCTTTGGTACTGTTATTTTTGTCTTATAAAATTGGTGGCTTACCATTTTGTAATCTGCTTTAACGGTTCTGGTGTTAATCAAATTTATTTAGAGCATTTTCAATGCTTGGATTAGTAGTGGTAGAATAATTTGTTTCTCTTAGAATGAAGATCATGTTTAATGGAGAATCCCCAAACTTTAAAAACATTCTGACTGAGTATATGGCAGATGCTTATAATCCCATCTCTTGGGTGTCAGGTCAGGATCACCACTCACTGTAGTTAGTTAAGGCTGCCCTGGACAGTGTTTGGTCTAGCTTCTAGAACAGAAGGCTCATCCTGTGGGTATTGAGCACACTTATATTTTTTAAAACAAATTTCTTCACAGGGAAACTTTACCAACTAAAAACATTTTGCAAGAACAGCCTGACTCTAAAGGTAAGTTGTATTTGACAGCATTGGGAGGAGCCCTAACAACAAATGTACTATGTAACAGTAAATGCTTTTCTTCGTTACAGTAAAAATGAACAAAAGAGGACAGGGGACATAGAGTTTTGTTTTGCCTTTATATAATGGAACTCATTGTATGTGATTTGAGAGAATATTGTCATAAGATTTCTCACTACTTTGAAATACTTAGTTTAGGGACAGCAGAATGACAGGTAAAGGTGCTTGCTGTTCAACAACCTGAGTTTGACCCTCAGAACCTACTGGCCTGCATGTAACAGGCCTTTGGACTGCCAGCTCCCAAATAATGACACAGAGACTTTCTTCTTAATCTTGAAAGCTTGACCTTAGCTTAGGCTTTCCCCAAACTAGCTCTTAAAACTTAAATCAACCTGTTTATATTAAGCTATGTTCTGCCATGGGGCTCATTACTTTTCTTCTGTACCATATGTCTGACTTTCTTGCATCTGGCTGGTGAATCTCCTGCCTCAGATTCTTCTTTTTTTTCTTACATATCGATCCTAGTTCCCTCTCCCTCCCTCCCAAGCCCCTCTACCCACATCCTATCCCATCCTACCTCCCACTCCACAGGGAGAGTGATGCCTTCCAAGAGGGATCAACAAAATCTGTCAAGTCATTTGGAGTAGGGACTAGGCCTCCCTCCTGCCTCTAGGCTAAGGGAGTATCCCTCCATGAGGAATGTGCTCCCAAAGTCCTTTCGTGCACCAGGGATACATCCTGGTTCTATTGTCAGAGGTCCCTTAGACTGCTCAGGCCTTCTAACTGAGACCCATGTTCAGGGGTCTGAGTCGGTCCAATGCTAGTTTCCCAGCTATCAGTCTGGGGGTCCATTAGCTCTCCCTTGTTTAAGTCAGCTGTCTCTGTGGGTTTCTGTAGCTTGGTCTTACCCCCATTTTCTTATCACTCCTCCCTCTCTGCATCTGGATTCCAGGAGTTCCGTTCAATGTTTAGCTGTGGGTGTCTGCTTCTGTTTCCATCAGCTACTAGATGAGGGTTCTAAGTTCTGCCTCAGATTCTTTTCCAGAGTTCCTATCTCTGTCTGGAAGTCCTGCCTAGCTATTGGCCATTCAGCTCTTTATTAAATAAGAAGGTGCCTTAGGCAGGTGAGGCTAAACAGACTTATCTTCACAGTGTATAGAAAGATTATCCCAACACCTTCATCCCAGTCGTCAAGACATGTGATTGCCCAGATATATATGCTAAATAAACAATTATTTTTCAAATCTTCCACTTTATTACTCTGCACTTAGACAAGCATTAACAAGAGTACCAGCAGCCAGCCCTGTAATGAAAGTAGCTCTTGGAAAGGGGGAGGTCTTGAACATTCAGATTTTTTTGTTTGTTTTATTTTTTGGTTTTTTGAGACAGGGTTTCTCGGTGTAGCTTTGGAGCCTGTCCTGGAATTAGCTCTGTAGACTAGGCTGGCCTCAAACTCACAGAGATTTGTCTGCCTCTATCTCCTGAGAGCTGAAATAAAGATGTGTGCTGCCACCACCTGGCTTTTTTTTTTTTTTTTTTTTTTAAACCCATTAATTTTTTACTGTGTATTGGTCTTTTGCCTGCATGTATGAGAATGTCTGAACTGAAACTTCAGAGAGTTGTGAGTTACCATGTGGGTGCTGGGAATTGAACCCAGCTTAACCAGGCTTCTTTGGAAGAACAGCCAGTGCTTTTAACCACTGAGCCATCTCCCCAGCTCCAGATCGGTTTCTTTTCTGATAAGAATATAATATGTTAAAAATATTCAGCTTCCCATCTGTTGAGTTGAAAAAGATTGCACATTTTCCCTCTTGGTTTCTTTTTGCATCAATGATTATTTTTGTATAAAAGCTATCAGAGAAAAAAATGTAAGGTATGAAAAATATAAGTAAAATGAGACCTCAGAGCCAGTTAAAGGCCCTTGCCACCCAGCCTGGTGACCCACATGGTGGGAGGAATGAACTGACTGCCACATGCTTGGCCACGCATAGACACACAAAAATATGTATTAAACAAACAGACAGACAGACAGACTTAAAGCATCCTAAAATGTTCTATGTGCTAAAAGCATAAATATCTACTTAGAAGTAGTTTTGTTCTGATTGTAGCCAAGATAATAGGGAACATAAAGCAGAGAGATGTATCTTGAACAACAGAGGGAAAATAACTGGCAAAATCTAGTATGAAGTGACCAGAAATAAATGAATAAATAAAAGATTTAAGGTTTTGTTTGTTTATTTTATCTGTGTATGTGTGTGTGCATTCGTGTCCTGGCACATAGGCAGAGGTCAGGACAACGTGCAGGAGTAGATTCCCTCTGCCAGCTCAGTTCAGGGATCAAACTTAGGTAGTGAGCTTTTGTGGTGGGCAAGAGCCTTTTATCTGAGCCATCTCGGTAGCTCCAGAGGAATAGCTTTAGAGGCATTTGGATCATTGACAATTTATGGATCTCATTATGCATTTCCAGTTCAAATACATTTAAGACATTGTAAATAATCACTGAAATTATTAGTTACATAGATATTATATCTTAAATAATAATAACAAAAAGAACCTTCTGAAAGGCTTACAAAGACACTGAAATATTTGTAGTTCAAGTGTTCTGGTTCTGCTTCAGGGCCGTGTTGGGTTGGATCTGGGGGACACAGATGAAGTAAGATCATGCATGTTTAAATAATTAGGAAATGATCTCACTTTTATGAGTCTTTTTCCTTATAAAAACAAATCAGGGTGGAAAGATGCCTTAGTGGTTTGGAGTGCAGCTTGCAGAGGACCCAGGTTTGATTCCCAGCACGTGTCATGCGTTTTCAGGGGACAGGATGCTCCTTTCCATCCTCCTCAGACATCTGAGCTCACTGAATTGCATGAACTGTACCACACACAAGATGCACACACATGTACATAATTATCAATGTCTTTTTTTCAATTGTGCCTTCTCTCTCAAACAACACAGCATTAATTACTTCCTATGGTTTTCTTGAAGAATCAAACACCCCTGAACCCCTTTCTCTTTCTATAGGTCCCAGCATGCCTTTCTCAATTTTTGATGAGTTTCTTTCAGACGAAAAGGACAAAAGGTGTGGTTTTACTGTTTTTTGGATTTTTTAGGAGTAGATTTTACTATATATGTACATTTTTTTAATTTAAAATTTTAGATTACTAAAAATTAAAGTATTTTTTATTTGTATGGTTGTTTTGCCTGCATGTATATCTCTACACAAGCTGTGTGCCCAAGGTGGCCAGTAAAGGGTATTGGATCAAGCAGTTGTGAGCTGCCATGTGGATATTAGTGACTGAACCCAGGCCCTCTGCAAGAACAGTCAGTACTCTTAACTACTAAGTCATTTCTCCAGACCCTTATCTTAAATTCTTTGAAAAATTTTGTAAATTTTCTCATATGAAAACTTTTATAAATTGGTTATCTCTTTATTACATTGGGTCTCTGGGATGGAACTCATTAGCAGGCTTGAACTATAAATTGTTACCTACTGAGCCATATTGTCCCTAGGATTTGAGTCTGTGAGTGAGGGTAACTGGATGCTGTGGTGTACACAGGACTGGGAAGAATGGTAGAGATAGGGAGATCGTGAGTTCAAGGCCAAACTGGGCTACCTAATACAGCTCTATCTCAACAAACAACCAAAAAGGCATGAGTTAGGGTTGCTGTTATTTCTGCAGATGGTAACAGAGAGTGCTAACTGGAATATGCCTTTTCCCAGTCCTGCAGATTCTCCACAGGGTCTCAGAGCCCAGCGAAGACCCCTTGCAGTTCTCAAAACTACAGAAATCATTGCCTCAAATGAGGACATGTCTCCTGATGTTTGTGTAAGTTAACATAAGTGGGCTTAGTGAATTAGTGCACGAAAGTCTCTCAGAAGTTTAGCATTTGCCTGCTTAGATGACTCAGCAGGGAAAGGCACCTCCTGCCAAGCCTGAGCCTGAGATTGATTCCCACTGGGTCGCACGTGGTAAAGGAGAAAACTGACTTGCACAGTTGTGCCTCTGATCCCCACCGCCATCCCCACACGGGCACAAATACAAATAAATGTATTTAAGTTTAAAACAAAAATTTAGGGTTAAGTGCTGAGCAAGCGTGTAGTGGTATCAGTGGGCGGTGCACGCAGAGGGTCCAGAGTTCACCATCAGCCCAGGCTACGTGAGTGTGAGTGAGTCCAGCTTGAATACATAGCTAGACCTTGTTCAAAAGAAGTGTAGGGTTAAAATCAAAATCACTAATTTGAACTAAGCACATGAAAAGATATTCATTGTACCCACTAGAATGTCTATAATCAAGAGAGAAGTAATAACAAGTGTTTGAGGGTAAGCATGCTGGAAGAGTCATTTTGGAACACTTGTTGGCCATTCTTTAAAGTGTTAAACCTAGGGCAGTTAAGTGCAAGCATGTGCTCAGAAGCATGTGCTCAGCCGGGCGGTGGTGGCTCACCTTTATTCCCAGCACTCAGGAGGCAGAGACAGGCGGATCTCTGTGAGGCCAGCCTGGTCTACAGAGTGAGTTCTGGGACAGCCATGGCTACATAGAGAAATTCTGTCCCGAAAAGCCAAAAATAAATAAATAAAAATAAAAATAAATTATTTTCCATTTACACGAAGTGTCCAGGATAGAGCAGAGTAGTTGGGAACAATGGGGAAGGCAGTGGGAAGGGGCTGCTTGCACTGTGGTTCCTTTCTGAGGGATGAAAATCTGAAATAGCACGCTGGTATAAACACTAGAACACTGAGAGATGCACACTGTAGAGTGATGAATTAGATCCCAAAGTTGTAAAAGGTGGGGGGGGGGAGTCAATAATTTGACAGCTTTTTCATACTTCCAATTATTTCTTTTTTAATCCAACATACATGGTTTTGGGTTTTTTGTTTGTTTGTTTCCTTTTGGTGTTTTGAGACAGGGTTTCTCTGTGGCTTTGGAGCCTGTCCTGGAACTTCCTCTTGTAGACCAGGCTGGTCTCAAACTCATAGAGATCCTCCTGCCTCTGCCTCCCGAGTGCTGGGATCAAAGGCATGCACCACCACTGCCTGGCTTATCCAACATATATGTAAAATGCATTTTGTGGCAATGGAGAAACATTATGCAGACCAACCATTTTTCCTTCCTGTTGTAGTTTATTTATTTACATTTGTTTTGTTTTTGCATGTGTGAGAGTGCTTGTATGTAGAGGTTAGAAGCTCTCTCTTTACACCATGCGAAAGTCCTCAGGTTTGGCTGTAGGTGCCTTTATTTATTCACTGATCCATCTTATGGTCCCCTTTCTGTTGTTTTAAGTGCTGTCATGATAGGGTCACTACCTGATGATACCCGGGTGTACAAAGGTACTTTATAGGCTTTCAATTCAAACTTTAAAAATAAAGGGCCTAGGCATTGGCATTTTGTTGAAACTTTAGGGAAAAAGAAGGGTGCTTCTCGGCAAACGGCACCCAGGCACTTGGGAGGTTGAGGAGGACTGATGTGTTTAATTTGAAGACTTTTCTGGGGACGTGATGAGCAGTGTCTGTGACAGTAGTTACTCCACATCCAAGGAAATGAGCAGAGTCATTGGGAGACATTTTTTAAAATACAGTTTTCTTATTATTTACTTTTTTGAGATATATTTGCTATCTAATAAAGTTCACAGGATTGTATAGCTGGATAGATTTTTCACACGTGGCTATCAATGCTATTATATATCCAAAAGATAGAGATTTCCAATGATTCAGAAGTGCCATAGGGGATTTTGATTGAAAGAAGACACTCAGGCCCCATTCCAGTTTTATGTGATTTAAATTTCTGGAGAAGGAATCTACGAATTATTTCCCCTTTGTTTTAACTAATTTGGGAAAGTTACTCTGTAGTTCTGATGCAGTTAGTTTCCTGGTTGCTATGAAGCGCAGTGGTTGAAAAGAGTAACTAATGCATACTTTGTTCTGAAGAACCCCAGCCAGTATGTGGTGGATTGGGTAGGGTGGGTTAGGCCAGTTTCTAGGTTCAGCTACTCGCTGACAGCTTGGATATTAAAGGGCTCTCCTTCTCACCCATAGTCTGTCTTTCTCTTTCCCTCCCCCTCCTCTCTCCCTTTCTCCCTTGCTTTCCCCTTTCCCTTGCAATCACTTGCTTGCATTTGTTAAGAAATATCTACCTGAATTTTTTAGCTTCCCTTCCAGTCATATTTAAAATTTCTAAACTAATAGATAGATCCATAAACAGTAGTTTATTTTAATTTTTTTGTTTTTGTTTTTCCAGACAAGTTTTCTTTGTGTATCCTTGGTTGACTGGAACTTTTTCTGTAAACCAGGCTTGCTGCCCAGTTAAGCACTTTATCATATTTATCGTATCAATTTATGATCATTTCTTTTGCACCTGGCGGTGGTGAGGCACACCTTAAATCCCAGTCCTATTCTAGGGAGGCAGATCTTTGTCAGTTCAAGGCAGCTTGGTCAACTGATCGGGTTCTAAGAAAGTCACCAAAACTACAGAGAAACCCTGTCTCAAAAAAAACAATGAAATTTTGTTTTTTCTTTTGCTTTTTGAGACAAGCCTGGCTAGGCTAGTGTAAATCTACGCACTGTCTCTTTGAGGTGTATCTCTATTTTTTACTTCCTTAATTTATTTGAGTCAGAAAAAGTGTCAAGTATGTCAAATTGTAGATAGTCTAGCAAATTAGTATCTATGGGTTTGAATAAAGTGGCTATTTCTTATATTGTAGGTAAATATATAAAATGGTTTAATCTTTAGGGCAGCTAAACAATACATGTTAGGAAAAAAACCTTAGTGTTTTTAACCTTTCAACTAGCTAATTATTTCAGGAATATTTAGCCTAGGGATATTTAAATATTCATAAAAATTGTATATATTTTAAAATAGCTTCATGTCGTAAGAAATAGGGAATAACGCGGAAGCCTTGACGAAGTTTTCTTACATTTTCCTTCTAGTCCTCAGGTCACTGAATTACAGCCCTAGCCCCTTGACTAATTTCTAATCAATAGACATTGTGGGGCCAGCTAGATGGCTTAGTGCCCTTTGCTGCCAATTCTGAAACCTGAGTTCAGTCCCTAGGACCCATAAGGTAGAAGGAGAAAAATGACTTAAACAAATTGTCCTCTGACCTCCATATGCCTGCCATGGTTCACATGTGCTCACACACATGCCCAATTTAATTATTTAATTAAACAATACAACCAGTATTGTGACCGTCCTGGAATTGGTTGTTTTTCTTTTTTCTTTTCTTTTCTTTTTTTTTTTTAAGCTTGGTTTTTCAAAATAGGGTCTCACTATGTAGCTCTAGCCATCCTGGAACTCACTACGTAGACCAGGCTGGCCCCGAATCAGAGATCCACCTGCCTTCTGAGTGCTGGGCTTAAAGTTGTATGCCACCACATCTGAATTCAAAGGCTGTTTTTAAAAGAAGTATTTTTATCTGTGTGTACATGTGGTTCTGTAACTGAATGCCATGTGTGTGGTGGGTACCTGTGGAAGCCAAAAGAGGGTGTCAAAGCCCTTGGAGCTGAGCTGAGCTGCCCTGCATAGGTGCTAGGAACTGAACCCATGTCGTCTGGAAAGGTGTCCAGTTCTCTTTGAGCCATCTCTCTAGCCCCCAGAATGCTCTTTAAGGGAGAAAAGTAGTATCAGTGCTTCTTCAGCTTTCAGGTAAGATTGTTTGGAAGACGACGTTAAATAGTTTTTTCACATGTGGAGAGGCCTCACAGTCTATTTTTTGGTGAAGTACAAAATTGCTTTCCCTGAAGCTGTACTATACTTTTAAAATTGTCTTTAACTAGACATCTTGGTATGTTATTTCTAAATCTCATTTCAAAGATTTAATGTCTAAGCATACATATATTCCATTTACATGTTGGTTGACTATCTCAGCTAAACTATGTTTTGTTTTATTTTTAATTTTAGGATGAACTTACAGGAATTGATCCTTTGAATGAGGATGCCACCATCCCAAGTTTCAGGAATGTAACCATTTGTCCTAACCCTGAGGACACTTGTTACTTTGCTAGAGGGCCTCGTTTTGCATCTACCCCTTTCCATGAGATACCGTCCTTGCAGAGCATCCCTTCCGATCCTGAGAGACTATTGCAGGAAGAGGATCTAGATGGGAAGACCACTGAGGGCCATCACATTGCGCTGGCCACTATTTATAACCAGACCCTCAGCGTCAAGAAACTGAGGTGATTACAGCGTTTGTTCTCTTGGTCTGTGAGCTTGTCAGTTACAGTGAGCAGTCATCAGGCTCTTACTTCTGCCAGATGCTTAAAAAGAAAGTCAGTCTGTCCCAGGTATAATGTCTGGAGTGTACAGATTGTTCTGGGTTTGAGGATTAGAAGATGTAAATTTTGGTGGTAATAAGACTCAAAGGTATAGGAGAGATGGCTTAGCAGTTAAGAGACTTGTTCTTTTAGAGAACCTGGGTTTGATTCCCAGAACCCACATGGTGATCACAACTCCTAACTCCAGTTCTGGGGTGTCCATTGTCTTCTGACTTCTCCAGGCATATACATTGTGCATAAACATGTGAGCAGAACACTCATATATAGGCAATAAGTGAATAGTGTTTTTCTATCTATTTCCTGTTTTGGGAAAATGATATGCTTTAAAAATGAGACTAATAAAAATCAGAGCAACTATAAATTATTTTAAAATAAATTTTTTGTAAAATTTATAAATTAAAAAAGTTGGGGGCTAAAACGATGGCTCGGTTGTTGAAAACACTACTCTTGCAGAGGCCCCAGGTTCAGTTCCCAACAGTCAGAGCTCACAACCCCCTGCAACTCCAATTCTAGGGGACCTGGCCTGCTCTCTTGGCTTCTCCCTGCTCTCACATCGGTGCACTTCATATATGCAGGCGAACACTGAAAAGAAATGCATCTTCATTTAGACATTTTTTAAAGTTCTAACGTAAGTTGGTGTATACTATCCCTAAGGACAGTTGCACTTTCATTTCTTGCAGCCCAATTATTGAAGACAGCCGTGAAGCCACACACTCATCCGGCTTCTCTGGATCCTCTGCTTCAGTTACCAGTACCTCCTCCATCAAAGGCCTTCAGCTTCCTGAGAAGCTGGAGCTAACTAATGACGCCACAGGTAGATCCATCCAGCCTGTGGGCAAGCTTCTAGATCTGCATGGTGGGCATTTACATCCCTCAGCAGACTGACCTGTTGACTAGTGAGGTTGCCACAAACTGATATTTCTCAGATAAACCAGCAGTAACACAACATAATTCATAAGTATGTAAGGCAACTGAATGTGGGCAGATGAGCGGTGCTGATTTTGTAATCTTGTTGGGGTCTTTTCCCTGCTAGTCTTTTGTTTGTTTTTCTGAGACAGGGTTTCTCTCTCTATGTATCCCTAGAACTCACTCTGTAGACCAGTCTGGCCTCAAATTCAGATCCACCTTCCTCTTCCTCCTGAGTGCTGGGATTAAAGGCATGCACCACCACTGCCCAGCATTTTGTAGGGGTGGGGTAGGGGTTGAGACAAAGTTGAGATAGTTTCTCTGTGTGGCCTTGGCTTCCCGAAACTTCCTCTGTACACCAGGCTGGCTTCAAGCTCACAGAGGTCCACCTGCCTCTTCCCACGTGGTAGGATTAAAGGCATGTGCCACCACTGCTCAGGTTTGTTTTTGTGTGTTTGAGGGGGTGGAACAGGGCTTCTCTGTGTGGACCAGGCTATGCTGGAACTTGCTCTGTAGTCCAGTGTTTCTCAACCTTCCTAATGCTGTGACCCTTTAATACAGGGTTCCTGGATGTTGTGGTGACCCCCAATCATAAAATTGTGTTGTTCCTTCATAACTTTTAGCTACTATTGTGAGTCATAATGTGAATATCTGATATGAGACCCCTGCAGGTTGAGAACCATTGCTGTAGACCAAGTTGGCCCTGAACTCACAGAGATCGGCCTGCCTCAGCCTCCCAAGTGCTGGGATTAAAGGAATGTGCCATCACACATCTCGCCTTAAGCATTAGTTTCTATGTGATGCTTATTTCAACTTATTTTCTCCACAGAAAATGCTAGTCAGTCACCCTGGTGTTCACAGTATCGACTACAACTACTAAAGGCCCTCCCAGAGTCAAGTGCTTTTGCAGAGTTTTCTATGGAAGATAGACCATTGCCTACCCTGGAAACGGGGAAGGAAATTGAATTAGGTAAGTACTGTTGAATACCTGCCTTTTGCATATGACAGCATACAAATAAGTGATTTGAACACCACAAACCCTTGAACACTATAAACATTCCTAGGTTGTAATAAATAGCATTATAGAGGTTAACACATTGGTAATTTCATGCCAAAGTAACAGCAGCCTCCTTTTGTTTTTAAATATCTTTTAAGATTTATTTATTTACTTTATGAATGTTTATTGCCTGCATGTATGTGATACCTATTGGTTCTCCTAGAACTAGGTTTCTATATATGATTGTGCACTATCGTATGGGTGCTGGGGATCAAACCCAGGTCCTCTGTAAGAACTAGTGCCCTTAACTACTGCACCATCTGTCTAGCTCTCCTTTTGATTCTGAAAAGTGTAATAGATGCTACTCACTGGCAAATACACTAGCACCTCTCATCCTTAGCCGGGAGGTAAAGTGTACAGACTTATATATGTTCACCGTGACTTTTAAAGTAGAATCTAACTTGTCAACAGGTAACGAAGACTACTGCATTAAACAGGAATACCTAATATGTGACGATTACAAGTTATTCTGGGTGGCACCAAGAAACTCAGCAGAGTTAACCATGATCAAGGTGAGACTGACTCTGTAATTTCATTACTTTGTAAATACCTATCTACTGGCTTCTTACTGGGAAATCGGTGAACCATTCTATGTCAAGACGGGGATCAGAAAGGAGGGACTATTGTGTAAAGACTGTCGTATTCTAGTCTTGACATACATTAGTGTCACCTTAAAATCTCCATTTCCTTCCCTGTAGGGTTCTGTCATTACTTTGCTTATATTGGACATGCAGAAACCCATTTCTTTCTTAGCTTCAATCCTCTTATTTTGGAAGAGTACTTAGTAGCTTTCTGAGAAAAAGGAGGCAATAACATGTTTTTTTTAAAATCCTCTGGGTCAGAAAATTCCTTACTCTACATCTTTTCTTGATTGGTGGTTTGACTGGATATAGAATTCTTTGTTAATTTTTTTTTTCTTTAGAATTTTAAGCCAGGTTCTGGTGGCTGCACACCTTTAATTCCAGCACTTTCTAGCACTTGAGAGGCAGAGGCAGATGGATCTCTGAGTTCAAGGACAGCTAGGGCTGTTACACAGAGAAACCTTGTCTCAAAAAAAGAGAAGAAAAAAAAAAAACAAAACAAAACAAAAAGAATTTTAAAGCCTTCTTTTGTAACCTTGCTTGTTACAAGGCTTCTGTTATTGTTTGATTGACTGGTTTTGGTGTTTGGTTTTTCTTCTGCTGTTCTAGAAACATTATATAGGCCTGTTTTCCACACCACTGAGCCACACAAACCCCAACCTTACTTCTGAAGTCTTTTGCAGTCCTAATCTTTTTTCATTGTTTTAATGCTCAGCAAAACGATTTTGTGTGCAAAAAAGGGTGTGCTAGAACCCAAACCACGCTCACCTGGGCATGGACACTTAGTTGGTTTTCATTCTAAAGCATGTGATGACTTTTGTTTTTTCCCTGTTGGCAGGGCTCCAACCTCACAGTCTTTGCTTTTACCTAGTTTTAAAAGACCCAGCAGGTCTCCCCAGCTGTCCTTTTAATTCCAGTACTTTGTGTGAAGTCTCTCCCTATCTCTGGATCCTATAGTCTTGTTTGTCAACCCACTTTGATATAAGTAATATTGCCTACCTGCTGGGCAGATATCACTCAAGTCAGTGAACATTTCTGCCTGGAGACTCAGACTTGACATTTTCTTTGGAAAAAACTGGTTTCTTTCAATTTTCTGTTTTCTCAATTTATAATTTCTCATACTAGATATAGGTCTTTCCTAGACAATCATTTGTTTAGCATTTATTTATTGTATGTGTGTCTTTGTGGCCTGTGTGTGTATATGTGTGGTGTGTGTGTGTATGTCTGGTGTGGGTGTGTCTGGTGTGTGTGTGTAGGTCCAACAACAAGTTGTGGGCCTCACTTCTGTCTCATCATATGGTTCTGGCTTGATGAAAACAAACACCTGTACCCACTGAGCCATCTCACCACCCTGTATTTCCTCTATGTCCCTCCCTCCCTTTCTCCCTCCCTCCCCCTCCTCCCCTCCCCACTACCTTCCCCCTCCCTTCCTCTCCCTCTGATGGGGCTAGAGAGATGGAGTTTGATTCCCGGCGCCTACAGCCGCCTGTGAGCTCCAGGGGTGTGTGGTCCTTTTCTGAGGACACCTGCACTTGAGTGTCCACCACATAAGAGACAGACAAAACTAAAATGTTACCATTCTCCCTCTAGCTTCTCCTTTGTCTTTCTCTCTGTAGTGCAGTCTCTCTCTGTAGCTGCAGGGGATTAATTCTAAGACACCTCCCTCCCATTTGAGATAACCAAACCTGAGAATACTGAAGTCCTTTATACAGACTGACATAGTATTGCAAATAACCTGCACATACTCACTTTAAGCTCTAAATCCTCACCGGATCACTAACATAATGTGCATACTATGTTATTTATTGTGTCTTACTCTCCCCCACACACACACCTCAAGTATTTCCAATCTGTGGTTGGTTGAACCCTGCAATGTACAACCTATGGATTCAAAATGACTATTTTATCAACCATATTTTCAGTCTCTTTATAAGTTTTATTATTTCTTTCAAAGGGGGAATGCTCTTTATCTTATTGAAATATTAATTGTTTTTCTTTTGTTTGTTTTATTGGTCTTTGTTTTAAGACAGGGTTTCTCTGTGTAACCTTGGCTGTCCTGGGACTCACTCTGTAGACCAGGCTGCCCTTAAATAATGTGTTTTTCTTGGATCAGCAAGCTGGCCCAGTGGATAAAGGTGCTTGCCACCGAGCCTGACAACCTCTGAAACTGGCATGGTTGGACATTGCCAACTCTCCCAAGTTGTCTTGTCTCTTTCACACCCATGCCATGGCACGCTCATGAGCGTGCACACACACACACACACACACACACACACACACACACAAAATAAATGTTTTCTTTAAAGAGAAGAAAAAGGTGTTGTTCTACATCCCCCTCCCCTGCCTCCCCCCTCCCCCAACCTGTCTTCTTTTTGTCTATTTAAAGTTCTGTCTTTTCATATTAGCAACTTGGAGTGTTTTGCTCTCTTTGGAGTTAGGTGTATAAAAGCTAGTTGGAAGCTGTGTGTACATAGAGAGACCTTGGCAGTGTGAGCATCACTGTAGATGATGTAGTTTTGACATTTTATTGGAAACCCACCAACATCTTTTCTCTTGAGCTGATTGGCTCACTGAAAGAAGGCTTCTCGTTCCCTGCCCAGAGAATGTGAGCCTGACTGCTGGAGCGAGCATAGTGTGGAAGAGAAGTGACATGGATGGTGTAACCTCTGATGTATAAACTTCCTAGTTTCCGCCCCACCTCACAGTGCCTGGCTTCTTCTAGGCCAGTCCTTCTGGAGAGGGAGGGAGGGGAGGAGTCATTGTCCCGCTGGCCTACAGGGTCAGGAAGGAGAATTTGGAGACTGAATTCCTCTGAAGTGTGGTTCAGGCACTCTTGTGGCTGCATCCAGACCCTACCTAGCTGGTGCTTCAGGGTTCCTGCAGTAGGATCTGTGTACCAAGGCTGCTCTGTTCCTGTGAATCTTCTAAGTCGTTAACTCTATTCTCCTCCCAGCTTTTAGAACTGTATTTATTGCTCCTGTGTCCTCTTGTATAGCTTATGCTTTGGTTTTTGTTGGTTTGTTTTGGTGTTTTATTCTGAACTCACAGAAGAGTGCTGGCATTAAAAAGGTGTGCTGTGTCTGGCCAGATTGCGCTTTTTTAAAAAAAGATTTATTTATTTTTTCAATGTATAAGAGTGCTCTATCTGCATGTATGCCTTTATGCCAAACGGGGGCATCAGATTCCCCTATAGATGTCTGTGAGCCACCATTGGATACTGGGAATTGAACTCAGGATCTCCAGAAGAGCAGCCAGTGCTCTAACCAGTGAGCCATCTCTCTAGCCCCCAAAAGTATGCTTTTTAAAATTACTTTTTACTTTATATTTTCTGGACTATCAGAAGGTCTGTATAGTGATTTGAATAAGGACGGGACCCCATAGTTTTATATATTTGAATGCTTAGTCACCAGGGGGTGTAATTCTTTGATAGGATTAGAAGGACTAATAGGTGTGGCCTTGATGGAGGAAATATGTCACTGGGGGTGGGCTTTTAGCTTTCAAAAAGCCCATGCCAGGCCCAGAGTCATTCTCTCTCTGCCTAAGCATCAGGTTGTAGAACTCTTAACTACTTCTCCACCAGCATGCCTGTCTGCATGCAGCCACGCTCCCTGCCATGATGATAGTGGACTAAATTTCTGAAACTGTAAGCCAGTCCCCCAATTGAATGCTTTCTTTTTATAAGAGTTGCCTTGGTCATGGTGTCTTTTCCTAGCAATACAACCGGGACTAAGACAGGCAGTAAGAAAGGGTTTTGTTGATTTTGTTTGTTTTAGACAGGGTCTCGCACTGAAGTCCTAGCTGTTCTGGAACTCAATATGTAGACCAGGCTAGCCTAAGTTTATGTTAGTCCTCCTACCTCTGCCTTCTGAGTCTGCAGTTTTTGTTGTTATTGTGTTTTGGGTTGGTTGGTTGGTTGGTTTTAGCATAAAAAATAATGTGTAGGAGTGTGTGCGTGCATGCATGTGTGTGTGTGTGTGTGTACACGCGCGTGTAAACAATTGTACTTTACTTATACTTATAACGTGTAGGGGTGTGGGTGCATGCGTGTGTGCGTGCGTGCGTGTGTGCGTGCGTGTGTCTGTGTGTGTGTGTGTGTGTGTGTAAACAATTGTACTTACTCATACTTGCTCCCCTTCTGCCACCCTCTCCCCATTGCTGCCCCCTCATAGTCTCCTCCTGCTTTCGTGCATGTATAGTTAAATAGAAAACAGGGCATTTGTCTTTCTATGTCTGGCTTGCTTCACTTAACATAATCTTCATTTCTATTTTCTTACAAATAATATGATTTTGTTCTTTATGACTAAGACATGTATTTTCCAGCCTAGCATGGTATAGAATACACTTTTTATCCTAGGAGGCAAGAGTCAGGTAGATCTCTCTGAGTTCAAGGCCAACCTGGTCTGTATGAGAGTTCTAGGCCATGGATAGGTAGTGAGAGCTTGTATTTTCAATCTGTCAGCCATCACCACGTATTCTAATTGCCCTTACATGTTAAATATTATGTCTTACAGGCATCTTTTCAACCTGTCCCATGGGATTTGTATATCACCCTCAAGTTAAAGGAGCGTCTAAAGGAGGACCGTGACCAGCTTTGCAGCTATTTTCAGTACCAAGATGGCCATATCGTTTGGTTCCAGTATATAAAGTGTTCCACCCTTCAGGTTTGTGATGATACTCAAAACATACAACTTAAGATGTAAAGAAGAAGTTTACACTAGATTTATGAAAGACATTTCATATAGGGCTGGTGTGGTGCCTCAGCAGGTGGGGAACTTGCTGCCAAGTCCAATGACCTAAGTTTGATCCCCAGGACCCAAATTGTGATGAGAGAGAATTAAATCCTGTAAATTATTCTCTAGTTTTCACTCTCATATCATGGCATGTGCAAACACACACATAAATGCAATTAAATTTTTAAGATATTTAACACAAAATTCCTTTCAATCATCTAGAAATAAGCCAGTTTTTAATTTTATTTTTTTAACATTTAGTGTCTGTGTATGTGTGCGTGCGTGCTTTGGTGTACATGTGGATACTGAGGATAATTGCAAGTTAGTTCTCTCTGTGGGTTCCTTGGATCAGCATGCTTGGTGGCAAGTGCACTGACCTGGCTGGCCTTGAACTCACAAAAGTGCTCCCAATTGCTGTGATTACAGGTGAACACCAACACATCATCTCTAGAGAAAGAAAATTTAATTGCAATTTAAAAGTATTAATGATTCTTTTCTCAGGTGATACTTTGTTGGCTGGTTGAGTCATTTGTTTTTGTTTTAGTTTGTTTTGGTTTTGTGAGACAGGGTTTCTTTGTGTAGCCTTGGCTGTCCCAGAACTCACTTTGTAGACCAGGCTGGTCTCAAACTCACAGATTCTCCTGCCTCTGCCTCCTGAGTACTGGGATTAATGGGGGACACCACCACACCTGGCATCTTTTTTTTTTTGAGGGTTCTGGTTGGTGTTTAGTGCTGAGGATTGACCAGAGCCCTGTATATCTAGGCATTTGCTCTACACTGAGCTGCCTCCCCAGCCACCTTCTCCAATTGTTTTGACAAAGTGTCTGTTGGGTATTTTTTTTAACATTTTTCCCTAGGGGTTCCAGGGGATGAATGAATCACCTAACTAGAATAATTATTAACTTATTTAAGGCAAAAAAAAAAAAAAAAAAATTGTCTTGATTATTCTGCCTCCCCTGCATCCTTTTTAAAATACAGGCATGCAATATATCAAGTTTTTTTCTTTGCTTTGTTCTTTAGTTCTCACTGCCAAAATTAAAAAACAAGTTTTGCTTTATGTGTGTGTGTGTGTGTGTGTATGTGTGTGTGTTCACATGTAGGTAAGCTTGCACATGCATGTGGCTTGCAGGAGTCAGTTCTCTGTCCACTGTGTAGATTGCAGGGATCAAAAGGGTCTCTTGGCTTGGCAGCAGGTACCTCTCCCTTTTCTGCATGCTCTTCATCCAGTCTCATCAAACCCTTCCAGTCTGCAGGGGCCTCACTTAAAGCTGGGGCCAGGGTCCAGCCTGCATTCTGGCGGGGAATGGAAAGAAATGCACACAGCATTGGTCATCAGGGGGCGGTGTTGCAGGTGGACCAGCTGGAGAAACAGTTTTCTGTCTGTCTGTTTCCAGGATCTTCTCCAACACAGTGAGTTTGTGACTCATGAAATAATAGTCCTGATTATTTATAACCTCTTGACAATAGTGGAGAAGCTCCACAAGGCTGAAATAGTTCATGGAGACTTGAGTCCAAGGAGTCTGATTCTAAGAAACAGGTGGGTCCTTTTTATTTTCTTACATTGGCCACTTTTTTTTTTTAAAAACATGGATAATTATCATATTTATGCCTAAAATAATTCGAGGAAGTGTCTTGCCCGCTTGTTTGTCTGTGCACCACTTGCATGCCTGGTGCCCACTGAGGCCAGAAGGAGGGTCAGGCCCTCTGGAACTGGAGTTACAGATGTTTGCAAGCTGCCGAGTGGGTGTTGATAGTGGATCCTGTGTCTGTGCATGTGTACGTGATAGGGTCCTTGCCTTGCATGCATGAGGCCCTGGGCATGCCAGGAGAAAAATAAAAGGACTTTATCTTATTTAACAAATTTGACAGGATACATTTTATAGTCATAAGATATTAAAAGCAAGAAAACCTTTTTATTTTATATATGTACATATTGTGTACATATATATATATATGTATATATGTTTTTCAAGACAGGGTTTCTCTGTGTAGTCCTGGCTGACCCTGGAACTCACTTTATAAACCAGGGTGGCCTTGAACTCAGAGATCCGACTGCCTCTACCTCCTGAGTACTGGGATTAAGGCCTGTGCCCGGAAGTAAAGTTATGAATGGTTTTTTTTTTTTTTTTAAATTGAACTCAGGACCTCTGGAAGAGCAGCCAAAGCTCTTAACCTCTGAGCCATCTCTCCAGCCCCAAGAAAGAGTCTTTTGAAGTCACTCTGTTTATTGTTTACAAAACTTGTGAGGAAGATGAGATGGAGGGGTGAGAATCTTGCTTGGTAGTAATGAGATTGCTAACCTGGGTTTGATCCCCAGGGAGAGGAGGAGGAAGAGAGGTTTTGCCCTTTGCAATGTAAGTAGCTGAGTAGAAACAGAACTAGAGGGCAGTCATGCTCTTCATTAATCTGGAAACTCTAGCGCACAAAAAATGTTTTAAGTGACCACAGTTTTAGAAAACAAAATTAAGTTGGTCTATGCCAAGGAAAATGGGAGCTGCTGTAAACTCAAAAACCCTGCTGTAGAGTTGTGTGAGCCAGGTCTCGGGAAGCCTGGATTTAAGTAAGACCTGCGCCTCTTCCAGTTAGCAACTGGAGGAACTAATAGAGAAAAGAAATGTGAAAAGAGTTTTTTTTGTTTGTTTGTTTTGTTTTTGTTTTTCCTCTGGAGCAAATTGTTACAGTAACAGTAAGGGCAGTGTCACCTGCATGGGGCAGAGCCTACTTCTAACTTCAGTACTTACTGCATAGTACAAAGGTTGAGAATGTCCTGAGGTGGCCATACACTGTGGTTTACATTTAGGTAGCTTCTGTGTGGCCAAAACCAACTTAACCCTTTGGGCAGGCACTGCCATTACTTCTACATGTGCATTTTCATAACTAACCACTGGAGGGCACTGTTGGCAAGGATAAGACTCACCTGTAGTTCTGAAAGGGGGAAAAAAAAAAAACTGAGCAGCCGAGCAGCTGCTTTCATAGCATGTTTCTATTATCTCCTCTTGTATCTGGCCTCAGAATCCACGATCCCTACGATTGCAATAAGAATGATCATGCTGTGAAGATCGTGGACTTTTCCTACAGTGTTGACCTGAGGATGCAACTGGATGCTTTTTCCCTCAGTGGCTTTCCTACTGTACAGACCCTAGAAGGACAAAAGATCCTGGAGAACTGTACTCCCTACCAGGTAAGTGGAAAAGCCCGTGCAAATACGGAGAGCATTTCTTAGCCTCTTCCGTATCTGGATAAGCTATGAAAGCTAGTATTACTGCCATTGACTTGCCTAGAAAAGATGACCTCATTTCCAAACATTGTATCACCATGCAGCTTAGATAACAGTCTTTCTGTCACAACATTCAATACTGTCACAACATTCAATACTATAAATGTACACATGCAAATACATAACTCAGTAACTAAGTGCTCGGGACATTTCTTTTACTCACCGAACGTGCCAAAACGTGCCATTTCTTATGAATTATTCTCTTTACCTTTTCACTCTACAGTAAAGATAGTAGCGACTTGGAAAGACTAAATGCAATGATGTATATGAACAGAACATTACAACAAATGTGAGGTGTCTTATATGATTGTATTATATGCAAACATATCCTCTAGACATGAGATACTTGCTGATTGGACAGGTAGCATGTACCTGAAGTGGCCACATGGGCCACAGTAGATCACAGCTGGAGTCCATGAAGAATGGATGGAGTAGGTATGCTGGTGTGATTTGGTAATCCAGGTCATTTGTTGTCTTTAGCTTTTAAAAATAATTCTTTAGCCAGGTGGTAATGACACAGGCCTTTAATCCTTGGCAGGCAGAGGCAGGAGGATCTCTGTTAGTCTGAGGGCAGCCTGGTCTTCAGAGTGAGTTCCAGGACAGCCAAGGCTACACAGAGAAACCCTATCTTGGAAAAACAAATAATAATAATAATAATAATAATAATAATAATAATAATCCCTTAGGTTATCTCTGGTCATTTCTTTGAGGGGCTTCTCCCCGTAAAGATAAGAACATCTACTAAAATATGTTATAAAATACACAGTTAAGCTTTGGTATGCTTTTCAACTTTTATATAAATAAGTTTATAATAGAAGCATTAATGACTTTAGCTCATGGTATGTTTTGTGATTTCAGGTAGATCTATTGGGTATAGCAGACCTAGCACACTTACTGTTGTTCAAGGAACACCTACATGTCTTCCAAGATGGACTCCTCTGGAAACTTAGCCAGAGTACTTCAGAGTAAGTACCAGATCCTGCAGGGTTCCCACCCATCCCTGTACTTAGTTCCCTCTTTCCTCAGTGCCCCTGCTGTGGAGTAACCTTAGTTTCCTAAACCAGGTACTGTGATTCCAGTGATCTCTCTGTGTTTGCTAGAGAGGGGGAAAGAATTACCAACTGAAACTAAGTCATAGACTCTTCCGACTTTAGAGAATTCTGAACCTTCGTATATTATGTAGTAGTATGGGAGCTTCTTGTTTTAGAAATATTAGAAACCTTTTAGAAGAATAATTTTCTAACCATTGGGGTTAGTCTTTTTAACAGCTATGCTTATCAAAAGTTGTCTTTTGAAGAGAGTTAAGTTCCCACGTTAGGTACTAATTTTAGACTTGTTTATTTACGGAGTAGGTAGAACCAAACCATAGAGCAGACTCTCCTGGTACGGAAATAAATGATCTCCCAGACCCAGGGCTCCCCGGGCCTGCTTGTGAACCGCTCAGATGCCAAGTGCTGTTTAAAGTCACCTCCACCAATGGCTTCCCAGCGGAAGTTCAGGAAGTCATGCTTTACTGCCTTTTCTTGAGTTTGTCTTCATTTTAAATCGGTGTTGAAGATTTAGTGCCCCTTTCCCACTTTCCTCTCCAAAACATTAAGTTGCACATTCTTCTTCATTTGATTATAACTTGGCCAATCACATTTGTCTCTCTATAGGTGTAAGCCTGAGATAGTGGCTCATGCCTTTCATCCCAGCACTTAGGAGGAAGAGGCTCAGGGCCAGCCAGGGTACACAGTTAGACCTTGTCTCAAACAGCAGCAAAAATAAATAAGTTAATGAAATGGCTTGAAGCATACTTTAAGATGTAGAAGACTAATAGGCATCTCCAGTTGGCTGTGGACCAGCTACGTGTAGCTAACATAAGCGGAGACAGATGGGGTGACTTGGCTTTTCCTAACACCCCTGTCCTCTACAGTAGTGGATGTTTTCAGATAAAGGGCAAAGAGAATAAGCAAACAAGTTCCTTTAGTCAAGTTGGATCCAGAGACCTATGAGGGTGACAGACCCCTGAGGTGGGAGTGGGGAAGGCTAGAGGGGAGACAGCTTCTTTGTGCCATTTGTAGAGGAGAGACACTAGGAGACATTACTGTGTGGAGAGATCTGCAGGCTCAGGTGAGAGCGTGGCTCTCCCTTTATATACATTTCACACCACCATGGTAGACTTGTTTTGTAGTTTTCAAAAGAGTGAGTGATCTCCAGCCCTAGATCTCGGAGTATTATCCTACATCACTTTAGCACATTCATGTACAGTTAACCTGAGATGGAATTCTAGTCTTCATCTGCCTAATTTTGGTAAAAATGATTTTCATATTTCCTTAGGCTAAAGGATGGTGACTTATGGAATCAATTCTTTGTGCGGATTCTGAATGCCCGTGAAGAGTCCACAGTGTCTGTTCTGAGGGAACTTGCAGCAGAAATGAATGGGGTTTTTGACACCACGTTCCACAGTCAACTGGACAAAGCCTTGTGGAAGGTGGGGAAGGTAATTAGTCCTGGAGCCTTGCTCCTTCAGCAAGACCGGCAGTCAAGCCTCTCCCAGAGCCCTGCCTGAGCTGTGCTGTAGTTGCTCTCATTTAATTGGAGCATATTTATACACACTACCAGTCTTTTTCTACCGGAACTTTTCTCTCAGTGGCAGTTTTTAACAGAATGCTGTTCCCTGTCAGCCTCACCTGTTTGATTCAAAACGAATTCCATACAAATGGGTACTTTTTAACCCCTTTGTTTCTACTTTCCCCTCTGCTTTTCTCTTTTGTAATTTTATAACATGTACTCTTGCACTCACCATGTATTTTATAATAAAATGGTTTTTTTTTTTTTTTTTTTGTTAAATCTGTGCTTCTGACATTTCATCTACATTTGCAAACTAAGGTGGTAAATGGTTTAATTTTAGAGAGGAATTATTTTACCATGGAAACTTATGTGTCCTAGATTTAGAACAGCTGCCATTGGATTATGACAGGCCAGCTGGCCGGCCATTTCTTCAGGTTCTCTGGCCTTTTAGCAGGTGTTCAGATGGAGAGCAGGTTAAATGATGTACACAACACCAACTTTTCTGAAGTTTCCAAGTTGTGTTTTGTGCATGGCTCACATCTGAGTTTTTGTAGTTGCTGAACGCATTTACCAACCTTTTGGAATAGAATACTCACCTTCCTGTCATTTTGTGTAGAAGGAAACAAGGATTGCTGAGGGGATAGAAGATGGTTTTGCCTGACTTGAGGAAGCAGGGGTCAGAACATAAAGTGTGGACTGATTTGGAAGAGAATAGTCTGATGAGCCACTGGGTACCCAGAGGGCAGTGCCAGCTGCACTTGGCCCTGAGGGTTTTGTTTTTTCAGTAAGGGTATGAGAACCATCTAGTCGTTTATTTCATATTAAAACATCAAAGTTATCTGATGTTCCTCATGCTAATACCTGATTTTCCCCTTACAGCTGTCACTATTGTTGCTCTAAGAAAGCAGAAAATCCTGAGTAAATGTTTCAATTAAAAATATTAAGCCATAAAACATGATTTGGATCCGAACGATAATTAAAGTAGTACTTTCTCTCAACCAAAATACAACTCTTCAGAGATGTTTAATTTGCTTCTTATGAAGATATAAAATGATGAAACTCTATCTGACACTCTGTAATCAGGCTCCTCTCTGCCCTCCTCGGTTCTGTTCCCTACACTGACCAGGAAATTTAGAGCCTTTGGCATAATCGTCCGTCTAGTGAATTCTTCAGCAGGCTAGACACCCAGTTGCTGCATATGGACAGACATTTGTTTCTAAAAGTGCACTTCTCCTCCAGTCCTGTGGGTGGCTGACTGACTTCCTTCACTGGCGCCTTCTCAAATCTCTGGACTAGAGTGGGCCTCCCTGACCCCCTTGAGCAACCCTGTCACTTCCTGTCACTTTTGCCCTTTGTGTTTCCATAGCACCTTTTGTCTTCATGTGCACACAGGGGTGACCCTCAGACGGTCCTGTATACACACACCCCCTTTTCTGTATCCCACTACTACAATTTTAACTCTTTGAGGTTAGGAACTTACCTAGTTCTTAACTCTAATACCCAGAACAGCACCTAAATAAAAACCTTTTACCAAAGTACAAAAAAATGAAAGAAAACCCGGAGACAGGAAACAAATGACCTATTAAGACATATAAGTGAGCCAGGCGATGGTGGCACACGCCTTTAATCTCAGCACTTGGGAGGCAGAGGCAGGAGGATCTTTGTGAGTCGAGACCAGCCTGGTCTTCAGAGTAAGTGCTAGGACAGGCTCCAAAACTACATAAACAGAGAAACCTTGTTTTAAAAGAAAAGACGTATAGATGAGAACTTCAACATATGAAATACATCATCATTCCCAAGGATGAAGATAGTGTTGGTGAGAGGCTGGGGACATGACTCAGGTTGAGAATACTTGTTGCTTTTCCGGAGGACCTGGGTTTGGTCCCAGGACCCATATGGTGGCTCACAAACCATCTGTTTCTCCATTTCCAGGTGATCTAGCACCCTCTTCTGACCTCTGAGCTCATCAGGCACTCATGTGGTGTGCATACATACATGCAAGCAAAACCCTGAAAGTCTAATATGTATATTTTAAGTATGTAAATTATATATATTAGAGAAAAACACTAGTGAGATTAAGGAAACAGTCGCTCATTAGCAGGTTCATTCTTAGAAGCCAATTTGACAATCTTTTCTAAATGTAAATATTCTCTAAGCTAAGAAATTACTCTTAAGAATTTATATCACTCAAACATTGGTATGGTGAGCTGACACTGACCTCATTGCTTTCAAGACTCATTTTCCCCAGTGGGGTGACCCGTGTGACCAAGACATCTTGCCTTTAGGACCAGTTTGCCCTGTCAGAACCTGAGGCAAGCTTGTGTTTAAAAGAAAAGAGGGTGCCAGCCATAGTGGCACACACCTTTAATTCCCAGCACTGGAGGCAGAAGCAGGCAGATCTCTGTGAGTTCAAGGCCAGTCTGGTCTACAGATCGAGTTCCAGGATAGCCAGGACCCCATCTCACAAACGAATGAATGAATGCCTGGGAAATTTAGGAAGCTTTATCATTTTTATTTCTTTATTCTTAGAGATTTGTTTATTTTACAAGTATGAATTTTGCATGTATCTCTACTCATCACATTGATTCAGTGCTCGTGGAGGTGTTAGACTTTTCAGAACTGGAGTTCCAGTCACTAGCTGCCATGTGGGTGCCGGAAATCAAACCCAGGTACTCATTATTTGTTTTTTTTTAAGATGTATTTTATTTTGATCTGGGTGGTGATGGCGCACGCCTTTAATCCCAGGAGGCATAGGCAGGTGGATCTCTGAGTTAGAGGCCAGCCTGGTCTGTACTACAAAGCTACACAGAAAAACCCGTCTCAAAAACAAACAAGATTTATTTTATTTTATGTGTTTGAGTGTTTTGCCTGAATGTATGTCTGTGCACGACATGTGTTCCTGGTGCCTATGGGAGTCAGGACACCAGGAGCTGAATTGAATCCCTTGGAACTGGAGTTAATGGATGGATATGAGCCATTATGTGGGTAGTTTCTAGAAACTGAACTCAGGTCTCTACAAAAGCAGGAAGTGTTCTTCACCACTGAGCCAGCTGGTCCTCAGTTCTTAATCTTAAAGTCACTAAAGATAATGCAGCCAAACTTGTAAATGTAGCATGCTGAAAATTCGTTTTTTGAGTCTGAATGTTTTGTGATCTGTTAGACACACACTTCTAAAACCATTTCTGTCACTACACCCTTTTGTCTATGAACAAAGGATTGAGTGACATACAGTACTTTTCCAAACTAAAATATTTAGTTGGGTAAAGACACTCTAAGCTTGACATTCTTGAGTTCAGTCCTCAGGATTAACAGGGTAGAATGAGAGAATCAACTCCTGAAAATTGTCCTCTGACCTCCACTCATGTGCTAATGACATGTGCCTGTGTGTGTGTGTGCGCGTGCGTGTGTGTGTGTGTGTGTGTGTGTGTGTGTGTGTGCGCGCGCGCGTGCGTGCGTGCGTGTGTGTGTGTGTGTGTTGAAATGGCTCAGCTGGTAATAGCCCTTGCCACCGAGCCTGTTGACTTGAGTTAGATCCTTGGGGCCCCCATGGTAGAAGGAATGAGAGTTGTCACAAGCTGGTTCTGTATGCTTATGAAAGGTTCGTTGATGGCCGTCAGGTGAACATCTACAAATGGGCTGTTTCCCCACCAAACATCTGCTTCTGCTATTGCTCTTGGGAGGCCCCTGTGGCTGAATTGATTGCTCATAGATATTGTTCCCCAAGTTTATGTCAGCCTCTCCCTGACACTGAGGTTGTTGCCCAAGCTTAGTTTTCAGACCCATTGTAAGCAAGGGACTTTGTGTCTCCTACTCTGTATCCAGCAATGTGTGTAATTCTCAAAGGCAGAAATACTGGGAGGGGGTGGCTACAAATTCCAAGACCAAGTATATTGGTGCTGAGGTTAATGTCTGGTCTTGGCCCTAGATCTCACTTTTGTATGCCATTTTATTTTGCTTCTCTAGCATGCTGACTATTAAATTCACATTGTGATATGCCTCACTGTCTGGGTTATACCTTTCAGATTAAATTTATGCTTGGTATGGCGATGCATGCCTGTAATCCAGATGCTGAGCAGGACCTCGAAGTTGAGGTCAGCCTGGGCTACATATAGAGACTATCTCTAAAAACGTTATTTCAGAAGTGTGATCTTTGTGGCGGGTGCTCTTTATTTCAGTTCCTGCTAAGCTGGGGTTCCTGTTCAGCTGAAGCGGTGGGGTGCCACTGAGTCCTTTCAGCACACCTTGGTCATGTGATGCTTCTAGATTTGCAAAGTGAGATTGTTCTTCGTAAAAAAACAAATACTGGACCAAGGGCGCACTCACTTGGTAGAGTGCCTTCCCTGGCATGACCCATATCCTTGTTTGAGTCCCAGCACCACACACCAGCGTAATGGTACTACTGCAATCCCAGAACTTGGGAGGTGGAGGCGGGAGGGTCAGATGCTGATTTTCCCAGCTACATAGTGAGTTTGTAGCCTGGATTGGATGTCATAAAATAGCCATGCTTGGTGGCGTATACCTTTAATTCAGTACTCTGAGGCAAGCTGAGCTCTGAATTCCAGGTCAGCCAAGTCTACACAGCAAAAGCTCATCTATAGGTAAATAAGACCACTTAAAATGTGTAAAGAGGTGAGTATGTCCTCGCTGACTTTTGTAGCTGAAAATTTGTAATGCTGACGTGAAGTGCTGATAAAGGTGGAAAGGATGCACAAAGGAAGTTTCACCTAGGTCGGCTTGGGAAGTAAAAGCTAACGGTGAGTGAATGTGGTACAGGGGGGCGGTCAGAGAGATGATCGAGGCACAGAGAACAAGGTAACTGTCTGGTAGGTTCTTCCATATCAAGGGCATGCCGTCACTACATACATAGACAAGAAAGCCGTTGCTCGGGATTGACAAGCATGGACTAGTGGCCAGCATTCTATAATTCGGCCCATAGCTATAAGGCCACCCCATAGCTATGTGCTTTTGCTCCTTCGTGTGCTGTATGGTTCTTTGCATTTGCCTTGTATTTGCT